TCTGAAACGTAAAATCTAAAATTTATAAAAAACGAAAGGAAGCTCACGTCAATAGATATAAACAATTCACCAAAGTTTTATGCAAATTGGTTAAAGCGTTTTTGAGTTAATGTCCGACATGTTGACGACGGACGGACAGACGGACGGACGGACAGACGGACAACGGTATACCATAATACGTCCCGTAAACGGGCGTATAAAAATGATACAAATTAGCTCTGCATCAGTTAATTAATATGTGATTGACAGATATTTTTATTATAAGCTTACAATCTTTAACGAAAATCTCAATTTACAACTACATGTAACATGATGTCCTGGACATTCAATAATGTTTTACAAAATAATGACGTGGTGATATAAATTAAATTCCCAGTCATGTAAAATTCATCAGGTAAACTGAGAGTCATATTTTTCTGGACATTTAAAAATAAATTGAGATGCACATGAATTTAATGCATCATAATATTACTAGGCTACTCCCTCATGTCCCAAGCAACAAATTTAAACTTAAATTCAAGTTGACAGTACAAATGGTATCAATGAATAATTAACAACTATATTATCTAAACGTTTTTATTGTACAATAACATGAAAAAACTGCAAGTATATTTTTTATTGCATATAAAACAATTTCCTTAGTGATAAGCACGAGAACACTATGCAACCGAAACAGTAATGGAATCTCACTTCTCCAAGAAATTGATCACTTCTCCCTTCACTCTCATGGAAGGAGAAGTCACTTCTCCCTCTCCAAAATCCTAGATTAGGCCCTGAGTCTAGAGCTTATTCAAAATAGGATCTTATACAATGTTATAGCAAACAAAATGAGAACTCTGGGGAAACTCACCTCAGATCAAACAAGGAATCAATCAGGCAGATTTTTGTCTTTGTACAAAGATCATTAATAAGCAGTCAGAGCTCAGACATAAACAAGTCGTATTTTGTTTTTGACTAACAGAAGTCCAAAAATGTATTTATTATAAAAATGTGTTTTCATTTTCAGACTTGATTAAGTCAGAAAATGACAGACTTGTTCAGGCCTATTTATGGTAACTTTAATTGACGATCAATGTGCACCACCTATGACATTATAAACCTGTCTGAGAGTTCACAAGGACCTGAGCTATCTATATTTAATTATCTAATTAAACATTTTTACTAACATAAGATTATTTTCCTCATTTTGTTTGGTTATAGATGGTTGCATTGTAAAGTAAATAAACATTATCTCCATTTTTTGAGGCTCTCATGCATATTTTTCTTTAGAAGACAAAGCATTGTCTTTCAATGTTGTCATAATTTCATGTAGATGCTTGACCTTTTTATAAATGTGCTTGGGTCTTGAAGTTGACCAATTTTGGTAACTTATCGACTTGTAGGAGTCAATATTTGCAACTTATATATAGTTTAAAATTCAGGTCAAATATTTCTTGTCTTCGGACGACAACGACTACAACGTCATACCAATATACGACCACAAAAATTTTTTGCGGTCGTATAAAAAGCAGTAGGTTATTGCTACCTTGGGTGGAATTGTAACTTATTTTATCATTCTGTTTGTGTACATAATAACATGAGTCTTATTATTTAACAGGCCATAATCTTGCCGGCGAAATGACGATTTAAGTCGCCAAAGAATTTTGAAAATCGCTAAATCTCGCCGGCCGACTGACTTCTTAGCGAAGTCAAATCGCTATCAAAATCGGTAAAAGGGAGACAACTTGTGATTGACAAGTCTCACAGGTAAAAAAAATGGCGGCTGACAAGGAAAATCGAGATTCTCGAAACGACACAGGACTAATACTGTAAACGATCAAATTAAATAAATACAACGGCGACTTTGAACATCCTCGGATATAACTTTCAAAACTGTTCAAACGGAAAACTGACTGTCTATTTAAGTTATCGTTTTACGATGATTTTCATCTGAGGATGTTGCGTAATCACTCGATCAGCTGATTTGTTTTATTTTTATTACCTACACGAGTCGATAAATTTTACTATTCGGTAGGTAAAGGGTGGGAATTAACGGTAGATTTATTATATTCATTGAATAAAAATTGAAATATAAAAGGTAGAAAGACAGCTGATGGATAATGTGATTGCAAACGTACAACACTCGACCAGATTGTGATCAGCAGTGGATTTTTTCTCATGACCACTTCGTTGATATGGATGATATTTTAAAAAAAAAGATAGAAATTAGCTCTTTATCGGATAATTAACTTGAGATTGAAAGATATTTTCATTTATAGACTTACAATATTTAACGATAATCTCAATTTTCTACAACTAACATAAATGTCCTGGACATTCAATAATGTTTTACAAAACAATGACAAGTGGTGATATAAATTAAATTCCCAGTCATGTGAAATTCATCATATTTTTCTGGTGTTTTAAAAATAAATTGAGGCAGATGCACATGAATTTAATGCATCATAATCTTGATAATATTACTAGGCTACTCCCTCATGTCCCAATCAACACATTTTATTAAGAACACATTATGGTATCAATAAATAAATAACAACTATATATTGTCTAAACCTTTTTATTAAGAACTTTCTATATATACATTGTGTACAATAACATATGAAAAAACTGCAAGTACATCTTTTATTGAATATAAAACAATTTCCTTAGTGATAAGCTTGAAAACACGATGCAACCGAAACGGTAATGGAATCTCACTTCTACAAGAAGTTGACCACTTCTCCCTTCTCTCTCATGGAAGGAGAAGTCACTTCTCCCTCTTCAAAATCCTAGATTAGGCCCTGACTTGCTTAACACTAATTGACTTATTGAAGTCATAATTTGTCTTAAATTAAAGGGAGACAAATCTAGAAACTTACAAATTTAGACCACTATGAGTCAAAAGCAGATTTAGACTTATTTATGTCTGAGCTCTGACTGATAAGCCAACTTTGTATATATATATATATTCATTTTTTTTAATTTATATTATGTTTATATGCCCCCACCATCACTGGAGGGGGCATTAAGTGGTACCCATGTATGTCTGTACGTCCAAAAATTGGTTTCCGTTCTCTAACTTTAGTTTGCCTAAACCAAATATAAAGAAACTTATACACAATATTTATTACCATAAAATACAGATCAAGTTCGAATTTGGGTGCCGTCAATTTTACCGTTCTCGAGTTATACCCCTTTATAATGTTATATGCAAGTGGGGGCATCATCTGTGTCTCCATTTATTTTTTTATTTAAAATTTACTTTAATAAAACGAGAAGAAAAATGCTACCTGAAGATAGTGTTTCTTTGTTTATATTGAAAATTATTTCATATGTAAAATCCTAACAATAGGACAAACTTTGGATACATTTCCATAATTCAGGTACTTTTTCACCAGAAATTAGGTCTTTCCACTTTTCTGTTGAATGACCTATTGATTTTGTTCTGATTATTATTATTATTTTCTTCTTCCGCCACATTTATTCTTACGGTGCTTTGTGGTTTCGCACGATGTCGCTTATTTTTTATGCATATCAGTGCTCCAGCTAGAAATTGAAAGGGGTAGGGTGCCAGTGGAGGGCAGGACATTTTTTTATGATAGGAAAAGGCACTGCTCATTTTTTTTGTCTACGTTTCTGTGTGTATCACGAGTTCACATTGTTTTTTTACTGTATATGTTGACAATAAAGATAATAAGTTGTTATTTTGATTATTTGAAATTGAGGTCAAGGTCATAGGTAAATTTGACCTTTGCTTTAAATTCATATTTATACATTATAAAGCCATAGGACTTTGAGCATTAGGTTACAAGCCATATGACCTTGAAAAAATCAAACCAGAAGTGACCTTATGTAAACCGGAAGTGGCTATTTTTTGTACTTATATCATATAAGAATGTATAGATTAATATATTTTTGAAAGCAGTGTCAAATTAACAATCAAATAATACCTGAAATACAATTTTTCAGACCGGAAGTAACAAATTATCTCCCTTATTTCAAATAAAACTGTATAGAAACCATATATTTTTGGAATCAGCAAACAATGGGCTATCATTTGACACTGGAACTGACATTTTAAACTGAATTTTAATACTTCCATATCCAAATATATCGTTAGGGGTGGAAAGACCTGCAATTGTTCTCTGAACAATTGGTTTTTAATCATTCTGTTGTTTTTTTTACAATAAATGTTTATATATGTAAATCTGCTGACAGCGGAATATTGTAATTTAAGTATAGACATATTTACACTTATACAAATTTGTCCAACATTACTTAAAATCACACGAGTTCCTGCAAAACTTTGCATCACAATCTTAAAAAATTGAGGTCATAAATTAAAAAGTGATTGTTGCTCGATGTCAGAAGGTTATTCAGAGACAGATCTAGGGTCATTCTGAGACATTATTAAGCTAAATACCAAAAGTGTAAATTGTTTGAACAAGGATCAAGGGCAAGGCCCCAGATAGCTTCAACTGACAATGACTGACAACTGGTTTAAAAAGATGTGTAATTTTATAACTTATCCAGATAGGAATAAATAGTGATAAGGTGTAATCTAAGGGCCGTTTGCTGAATTTGTCCCCTTTTCACAGGTAATACCAGCTGCATCTTATGCTAATGCAGGGCTGCCAAGTCTCAGGCATATAGCATGAGACTCACACATTTTCATGCTTATTTGGCGGCATTTTCCTTTCATCTATTGTTTTTTTTCTCTTTGATCTTTACAATTTTAGCCAAATCTCACACATTTGCTTCATGAAAAGTTGGCAGAACTGCTAATATATTATGTACCAGCAGTCACATAATCTGTCCAAATTTTCCTGCAACTAAGAATACAATTTACAGTCGTCAGCAGAAATTGAATGACTATAAAAGAATGGTTAGCCACAGGGGTTTGTTAACAAACCCCTGTGGGTTAGCAATCAATTAGTGAAAAATTAAAGCGACCTGAACCAGAGAAACAATTCTGAACGTTGTTACATAGAAGTTTGTAGTTTGTAGTATTCGTTACTTACATTACTCTAATCGTTTTTTTTTTTTAGGTCTATCAATAACCGGAAATATACACTTTTTCTACTTTCCAACCAAAGAGCAAAACACGTGCGACATTTATCCAACACGTTCTTTCATTGGATGAGATATTCAGTTTGTCCAATTAAATTTGTGGTTTCATCTAACGATAGGTTTTCTACCAAACATGGCCACTATAGCTGGAACTGTTCTATTTCAACGGGGACAGGTGACAATTTGACTAAATTTAGGAAATGATAAATCGCAGAAATTAAGGAAAACAAAGAACGTCTTAAACTTGGCGTCCGTTCTTTTTGTATAACTAACTACATGTAGCTAGATATTGATAACATGTAAAACATAACGCCAACGGGACAGACGTTGTAAGTACGTCAGAAGGTTTCCCCTTACCACAAAATGCAACAAGTCAATAAATAATTTATTATGCCAATAAGGATAGTTCCACAGATGATTATCTCAACAGGAATTGAACAGTTTTTACTCAAGCCCAAGTTATCTTGTATGGGGCAGGTGCTACCTGATGTCAGTGATGAGATCCTGAAGGTTTTGACAGGTCATACAAATGGGTTTTAATAATCAGTTTTGAATACATACCTGCCAACTTTCACAATTTAGATGTAAACTGTACAATGTTAGACATTTTGTCCTAATTGCAGGATCATGGACATTTAGAAAAAATCCGGGTCTGTTAACCCAAAATCACGTCCGCTCCCATTCACATTCGTCCCCTTTCACATTCGCACCCCACACGTTAACACCCGTTTTAATTGGTATTGTGTTGAATAATTTTTTAATCGTGTTTTAGTTAGTGTATTGCTATAAATAAGTTTTTTTTATTGTTTCAAAATAAAGTGACATTCTAAAAACGTAAACAGGTTTCCTACTTCATGCACTTTAACCGTACACTATCATTCAAATCATGAAATATTTCATGTAAAAAAACTGCACTAAAATATTTAGAGTAACTACTTTATAAAATTTAAAAGAGCACTAAAATATTTAAAAAAAACCCCTGAAACATCACATTCATGACATTATACACCATTCACACACCAATACTATCAAATATGCACTAATATAAACAGTTTATTCAAGAGTTATTGTATTAAATTCAAATAACAGTCACAACTGTAATCAAAGTTCAAAGTCTACTGTGGTGGAAAATCGTCAGTTGGTTTGTCTGATGGTCCATAGTCTTCATCCAATCCCTCCCAAAAAAAATTCATTTTGAAATTCCTGAATTTCTACTGATGAAAATATGAATATTTTGATTTATAAATAAAAAAAAACATCTAATAATTCAATCGGTATTTGAATAAAAATAGGGTGCGAACGTGTATTGGGATCAAACGGACCTGATACCATCAAGAAAGCCCTAAAACATGATGCATTCTGCAGAGTTTGCCACTAGTCTTATGCCCCAGACTAGAGAAAACTTTATTTGGACTAGCAAGTATTTGCAAAGTTTTGATTAGACACACAAGTACAAAATACCATTATTAATTTTTATATTTATATTAATATCTTTAGATCAACAGGGATTTTAAATCACCAATGGTTAACTCTTCATTTTACTTTGTTGCCTTGAAGCAGTTCTACTGCCTGAATAAGGGAGATAATCATCTCAAAATTATGATTTTAGAATAAATTTCGTGATTGCAGAACTTAGTTTCTGGAAAAAGTCTTTTGTCCGTGATCATGTTTTTATCTTTTTTTTTAATTGGGCATTGTGAACAAGCAACAATTTGAACTTGTTTGGAACTGTTGAGTGTTTTTCCTCTGTCTGTATGTCAGAATTGTTTACATTGTGATCATTTTGGATGGATCATCATTTGACAGAAGGTTCTTACATGTCTTATGCAGCCTAAGAAGAAAAGTGTGTTTAATTGACAAATTCCACAATAGGGATATCATATACCTTTTGAAAAGTCATTAGATACGTAACGTTGAAAACAGTGCTCTGAACATGCTGAATGACAGTTTAAAGCATACAAGGACTGTAAACTTCATCCATAGTCCTTCATACTCAGAAAACACTACCAAGTCTGTCAGTTATTGAGTAACTTCATTATATGACCAGATGATGAGCTACTCAAGACGGTCAGGCAAGAATGTAGTTAATACAAAAGAACTGATCATCAGACATTTTCATTGCTTGGGGTAAGGATTTATATAGAGTACTATGTAAAGCCTTGCTTTGAGTTAAATCAGACAATTAAAATATGAATCAAGTTTATACATGCCAATGAAGTATGCTTAATTCAATACAATTTGAGTTGCAATTAATGTTACCATGAACACATTAAATAGTAGTTTATGATATGGACATTACACTTATTGTCACAGATTCTTACAGTGTTCATGCATGGTGTTGTTATTCTTGTTATTAATTTATCAAGTTATTTAACATGTTTAAAGTATTGTCTTTAATTTTCACAAGAAATCAGATAAAGGTCCATCTTTATGATTTTTGTTCACATTTATCATGTTTATAAATTGGAAAAGTCAACAATCACTTATAACATGTATAATTCCTTCACAAGAAAATATTTTGCTGGTAATCCCACATTCTACTCTAGTTACATGTTCTATATTTTCTACACAATAATATAAGTACAAGAATCATGTAAATATAAAGAAGAAAAGGCTTATTTAAGATGTTTTATGTAAAATCTAAAAAAAAAATTGTTTTTCACAGTGAATTTATATCCCATTTGGGACATTATATCACCAACAGGTTATAACCCATATGTTTTTATCACAAAGGGAATGCTGGGATTGATTTTGGGGGTAATTGCCTCAAACTTTTTGGAATTAGGGGCAAAAAAACAAGCATTTTTCTAGTTTCATGACAATAACTTGTGTGTAAGTGTATGGATCTTACTGAAATTGTACTACAATGTACAAGGTTCCATATCACAAAGGGAAAGCTGGGTTTGAGTTTGAGGGTAATTGCCCAAAATGCTTAGGAAAAAGGGGCCAAAAATAAGCATTTTTCTAGTTTCCAGACAATAACTTGTGTATGGATCTCTCTGAAATTGTACTGCAAGGTACCATATATACCACAAAGGATGGCTGGGATTGATTTTGGGAGTAATTGCCTCAAAATTTTTGGAATGAGGGTAAAAAAACAAGCATTTTTACAGTTTCCAGACAATAACTTGTGTTCTAGTGTATGGATCTCTTTGAATTGTACTGCAAGGTACCATACCACAAAGAGAAGGCTGGGATTGAGTTTGGGGGTGATGAATCATAAGGGGGTTCAAAAAATTGGGGGAGGATTTTTTTTTTCCTTTTTTTTTCTTTCCTTTTTTTCCCTTTTTTTCTTTCTTTAAAATTTCCATTTTAAGTTGGGTATTTTTGATTTATATATAAAGGCAAATAATAATGATATGGTTTGATTTTATCAAAAATTGAAATATTGGGGTTCTTTGATATGCTGAATCTAACCGTGTATTTAGATTCTTAATTTTTGGTCCTGTTTTCAAATTGGTCTACATTATGGTCCAAAGGGTCCAAAATTAAACTTAGTTTGATTTTAACAAAACTTGAATTCTTGGGGTTCTTTAATATGCTGAATCTAACCATGTATGTATTTAGATTTTGGATATTGGACCATAATAGGTAAATTAAAAAATTTTAAGTTCTTGGACCACATTCATTCTGTGTCAGAAACCTATGATGTGTCAAATATTTAATCACAATCCAAATTCAGAGCTGTATCAAGCTTGAATGTTGTGTCCATACTTGCCCCAACTGTTCAGGGTTCGACCTCTGCGATTGTTTCAAGCTGCGCTCAGCGGAGCATTTTATTTTTTACTTGTCAATGCTTGTCATAATATTTTTCAGCATTCAGATATACAAATTTGTTACAAATCTGGTTTAAAAAAAATCTACAGTCCAATATCTTGAGTCTAAAGATGCATCAAGATTGTAGATTTGTATCAACTGAGCACATATTATGTATATCATCATTTATAACAAAAGTTTAAAAATAATCTAAATTTGATGTCATTTACTTGCTCTTTTGTCATGGGGACTAATATAAAATGATAAATTTTATACTTGATAAAATTTCATCTTAAATTTCTTTTTCTCACTGTAAAACTCGCCATAGCAAGAAATGACAGTTTTTTCCCTAGAAATGTTTCCTACATGTTCTTTTCTGTTTCAGGCTGCAGAGAGTGACAGTGATCTGTGGGATGATACAGCTTTGATTAAAGCTTATGACAATGCTGTGAACCTGGTGAAAGTAAGCCACTAAAATCTCTTTCATTATAGAGGAGACATTTTAGATTAAAGTCTAAGGCTAAACTACAAACCTAAATGTATTTAAAGCAAGTTTCATTTTGATCATTTTCATTCTGGCATTTGTCAAGGGTCCTTGATTAATATTTGGTATATGTACTCAAGTAAAACTTAATACATTTCACAGGGTGAAAAAAAATATTTGTTAATTACATGAGTATGTTTTAATATTAATTTAAACACATTGCAAAGAACAGCTAAATGCAGGTTGTTTGTAAATTTAAGTCATTAAATATTGTCCAGTGTTCTCCCCAGGGCCTTAAAGCACTGTGGTACCCTGGTGCTATATTTTCTACCATGGTGCTATCTTGGATGATTTTGTAATAGAATGTATAGGGCCATGGTGCTATATTTTTTGGAAAACCAGTGTTATGTTAATTTCCACGGTGCTATTTGAAAATTCTGGGGAGAACACTGTTGGCATTCCAGAGTTATGCTCCTTAATAATTTGAGTAAAGCAGAAAAAAAGCTAATTTGGGATTTTTACTCATTAACACAGTTAACTGAGTCCTCATAATCATTTCATAGATATTTCATTTACATATATTACAAACTATAGTACACAGGTAAAATTTTAATGTGACACGTTCTAGATTTGTAGTGTCAGAGTAAAGTCCTTAATAAAGATGAAAATAAACTTTAACTGCATGGCCATACCAGTATTCTTTTTAAAATTTATTTTTGTAAATTATTATATGTGCTGGCAGACATGGCAGAATTGATTTTCCATGGTTGAAAGAACATTTATCATGTTTATTATAGAAATTAGTATATCATTTTTTGATGATCTGTTTATATTTAATGTACCATTCATAAAATGTTTTCTTTTCTATAGGCAAAAGTAAATAGTTCTGTAGTTAATGGTAATGATAATGAATCACAGACCTCTAACAAACAAGATATAAACAAGAAGAGGAAGAGGAAGAGAAAAAAGAAACATAAAAATAAGAAAAAGGTATTTTGAAAAATTGAAGTACTTTATTGTTGTAGTTGATGGATAAAGTAGGAGATATGATAAGGTCACCTTTTTTGGTCCTTGAATTTTTTAAATACAAAATGATTTTTAATCTATTGAATACTATCATTTAGATCTTTAAAAGTAAATTTTCTATCAGATATCAATATTATTTTGTCTGTATTAAAAGCAAAACTGGAGAAAAAAATTGTAACTGTGTCATTAATATTAAGGTGTTAGGAAAAGCTGCATAAAGCATAAATTTAGCCTCATTTGTGTTCTTGGCATGAATTACCAAAAACTGTGTGTGAAATGGTAAGTTTTGACATTTTATGATGTCACAGTGACATCCCAAATGACATACAAATGTATCTGCATATGAATGATCTGACCTGACTCTATTATCTAATTCTAATTTATTATTAAAAAAATTAATAATGTTTGAAAGAATGAAATAATTTTACTATATTTGCAATTTTATGGGCAAAATAAAATTTTATCATACATATACATACCTCCCCTTTCATAACAATTATATACTGAGTATTTATTCTATGTTGGTATCATTTTTTGTGGTTTCAAGAAATTTAAACATTTGATGGTACTTAATTTTCATGCTTTCTTCATTTGATGCTATCAAAGTGACTTAAAATTTGTATTTCACTTGAGTATTTAAGTTTGAGGACCCCAACCCTTAGCCTGCCCTCAAAATCCACGAAAATTTTGCGTCCCTTTATTATTTAACAATTCATGATAGTACATTATATTTGACTTTAAGTTAGAGATTTTCAGAGAAAATACATTTGTTTTATACAGTATAAAAAAGTGTTATCATAACATATTTTTCCTACTTTAAAGTGAAAAGGATTAATCGATTAATGTGGAACATAATAGTTGAGTGTTTATTTGAAAGCTATAAAGGATTTCATGCAAATTAATAATAAAAGTTAAGTAATAGGTATGTCCTTTGATTGAGTTAAGCTATTTCAGTTGATATTTTATAGTGTATCTTTTTATGTTGTGATGTTACACTATTGTTTCAGAAAAAGGGTGAAGGTTTGGTACCATTAAAACGTTTAAACCTGCTGCATTTGTTTGCACCTGTCCTAAGTCAGGAATCTGATGTTCAGTAGTTGTCGTTTGTGGATGTGGTTCATAAGTGTTTCTCGTTTCTCGTTTTTTGTATAGATTAGACTGTTGGTTTTCCCGTTTGAATGGTTTTACACTAGTAATTTTTGGGGCCCTTTATAGCTTACTGTTCGGTGTGAGCCAAGGCTCCGTGTTGAAGACCGTACTGTGACCTATAATGGTTTACTTTAATAAATTTTGACTTGGATGGAGAGTTGTCTCATTGGCACTCATACCACATCTTCTTATATCTATTCAATTATTTTCTTGCCATAGATCTATGACATGAAGTTTTAAGTTGCGAGTCAGTTTCACAGTTACTGTAAATTGTTGGGTCTACTATATTCGGTTAATAGAATCACTATAAGGTTTACTTGTCTGTCTGACATGGTCATCTGACCTTAATCTGATTTTCATGGTTTATTGAATACTTTATTTCACATTATGCCTCTTCTATGATGTCTATCCTAGTTAGCAGCAATTTAATTTTGTGATTTTCAAATTTACTTGCAGTATTTAGATGAGGAAAGGTCCAAGTTTTACATGATTGTGTCGATTTATAGTCACGTTATTTTTCTACTTGCAAAAGTCATGAAAATAAATCACTCCCGCTAATTAGTTAGTTTACAGTATATATATAGATTAATTATTGGATCCCTGAATAAGTTTCAATATTTACAGTGTCCTTGGAAAGTAGGGGATCAGTGTAGAGCTGTGTTTACAGAAGATGATCTGACATATGATGCTGAGATTGTTGATATAGACGAAGAAGCAGAGACATGTATTATAAGATACAGAGGATATGGTAATGAGGAAGAGAAAGAATTTACAGAACTACTTCAGCCAACCAGAAAACAAAAACAAAGACATAAATCAGAAGTAAATACTAATTTATGTATTATATTAATGTACAAAAGCCTTTACGTATACTATATAATATAACAAGTATAGATGGCTATTATTAGGGCCAAGATTAAACTTAAAAACTTGGTCGAAAATGAATGAAAAATAAATGCCTACTAGAATAAGACAATTATTCATAAACTGTTGAAAACTTTAGTTTAGATGTACATGCACTGTCGATAACTCCCTATTGATTAGTATTTAAATGCATGTTGAAATTGCCTACTTTACTTATTTTGAAAAAAATACATAATTTGTCTGTTTACAGTCAGATAGTATGGATTGGAGTGCAAGACAGAGTCCAGCACCTGAAAGAAAGAAGAAACATTCAGCCAGTAGTAGTACAAATCCTCCTTTTATGCCAGGAATGCCATTCATGCCTCCATTTCCTGGTGTTTCAATGGTATATATTGCTGAACTCAAGTTTTAATCAATTGAAATACACAAATAATGATAGTTTATTTTACAGGCTAGGCTTTAACAGCTGGAAAGTATGTTACCCTTAACAGACACATTATTATGATTCCAATTAAATCACTCTGCTCTTACCCCAAAATCATGCTTTCTCAACATTGAAACAGCAATTACCAATTTTAAATTTCAGTTTGATCAGTTCATTAACTTATTTAAACCCATGACCTCCTGCACTTGAGGAAGTGAACTATCATAAGACAATGAAGTGGTACAATGTACTTGAGACAAATATTTACCAATATTTATTATAGTAATTTCATTAAATAACTGATTGCAAACTTAAAATATTTTTTTTTACAGCCACAGTTTCCTTCTTTTCCATCTTTCCCCCAAGGATTTATGGGACCACCATCAGGGGTAAGTAGATGATGATTTATCAGTAGCTATCACAATATTAAAGTTGATATATATAGCTGCTTAGGTCATTACTATATTAATGATTCTGTAAATTCAGATTTTTTTGCGATATTTTTATTATTACATTTGTATTGCGGAAATGGTGACAGGATATATAGGTTTGCAAAATAAAAACTTGCGTTTTAAACTTCTATAGCAATATTTGTATGCACCATTTTCTGTAATTGCAGTATTAAATGAATCTCACATTTTTGTCCAATATTCAACAATAGTAATAGTAAATGCACACAAAAATTTCTTAATTTACAGTAGTTTTTAAATAAAATGTAAGCAATTTCCAAAATTTTACCAAATTTTGTTATAGTCATTAAATGATTAAAGAAAATAAATTGATTTTTAATTACTGTAAGTCTTTGAGACCATCCTAAGTTTGTGTGTAGAACATTAAACACCCTTACTACTAGCTGATTATATATATATATATATATATATATATATATATATATATACAGATCTAACATTGTTGGGCTGATGTTTAGACAAGTTGTATATACAGAATGTACACAGCCATGTATTACCATCACTGCTGGTGATCCGATGGATAAATCTGTTGTAGAGTTGTCACTGGTTCAGACATACTTATAAATATAATTATTTCTGTGACTGTATCTTGCATTAATTTGCAGGATCCTTTACAATAGATATTTCAGCTGATCTGTAACAATTCCATATTCATGCCTTATTTATCATGTACTGTATTATGACGCTAGATTAAAACTGACGAGGAAAGGTAACACCCGGCCACCGAAAGCTTTATAAATTTGTGAAGACTAGGTGGTCGTGTGGTCTAGCGCTCTGATACAGTGCAGGCGATTTGGTGTCACGATATCTCAGTAGCATGAGTTCTAATCCCGGTGAGGGAAGAACAAAAAATTTGCGAAAGCAAATTTACAGATCTAACATTGTTGGGCTGATGTTTAGACGAATTGTATATACAGAATGTACACAGCCATGTATCACCATCACTGCTGGTGATCCGATGGATAAAACTGTTGTAGATTTGTCACTGGTTCAGACGTACTTATAAATATAATTATTTCTGTGACTGTATCTTGCATTACTTTGTAGGATCCTTTACAATAGATATTTCAGCTGATCTGTAACAATTCCATCTTCATGCCTTATATATCATGTACTGTATTATGATGCTAGATTAAAACTGACGAGGAAAGGTAACACCCGGCCACTGAAAGCTTTATAAATTTGTGAAGCCTAGGTGGTCTTGTGGTCTAGCGCGTCGGATACAGTGCAGGCGATTTGGTATCACGATATCTCAGTAGCATGAGTTCGAATCCCGGCGAGGGAAGAACAAAAAATTTGCGAAAGCAAATTTACAGATCTAACATTGTTGGGCTGATGTTTAGACAAGTTGTATATACAGAATGTACACAGCCATGTATCACCATCACTGCTGGTGATCCGATGGATAAATCTGTTGTAGAGTTGTCACTGGTTCAGACATACTTATAAATATAATTATTTCTGTGACTGTATCTTGCATTAATTTGTAGGATCCTTTACAATAGATATTTCAGCTGATCTGTAACAATTCCATCTTCATGCCTTATATATCATGTACTGTATTATGATGCTAGATTAAAACTGACGAGGAAAGGTAACACCTGGCCACTGAAAGCTTTATAAATTTGTGAAGCCTAGGTGGTCTTGTGGTCTAGCGCGTCGGATACAGTGCAGGCGATTTGGTATCACGATATCTCAGTAGCATGAGTGCGAATCCCGGCTAGGGAAGACCAAAAAATTTGCGAAAAGCAAATTTACAGATCTAACATTGTTGGGCTGATGTTTAGACGAGTTGTATATATATATATATATATATATATATTGAAGATAAAAACCAATACATGTAATATTTTTTTTCTTTTTTTTTCTTTTACCAGTATAAATCATTACAAACATTTTGCCCATAGAATTGGATTGAAACCAATGTTATAGTCGATAGTTAATTTGGTTTTGGAAATGATTAGAAGATTATTTAATTTTTATTGTGTATTTCGAAAGAAAATTAAAAAGGTTTTTGCTAAATGAGTTAAAATTCTATGAAATATGTGACATACATGTTATGTAATGAGAGACAACCTTTGTCATGTTTTACTTCATCATTGATTTTGCAATTACCTCCCTTTCATATAAAATGAATAATAACTATAAAAGTATTTGAATAATAAGTATACAATAACTCATTCACAATAAAAACAAAGTAATAATTTAATAAAACAGAAAGTCAGTCATTAGAATTAGAAGGACTATATGAATATTTTAATTATTCCACACCTGCTTTATACTATAAACAATGACCTTTCGCTAGTTATGGTGGACATTTTCACAGTTAGTCATTTGAAAGAATTTGAATTCAAACTGTAACTTGGGAACATTTTGTTTGCTATTTGGTATTGTGAAAGGCAATTACTCTAGTTAAAGCAGTTAAAAATTATTTCAATTATATAACAGTCACAGGGTTTTAACAGAATAGCTTATGTAAGGATACAGACACATTAAACATATTAATGTATTTAGTTGTATTAATGCAGCTGATATTGGATATTATAATTAGCTGTCATACATTAAAATTTTTAAGCAATATTTCAACCTGATGGGCATACTTTTGTTAGTGAAATTTTAATATAAACTATTTAAAAACATTAAATTGAACAGTATTTACAATTACTAGTTAACCATATTTTTGCGAAAATCATAGCAAATCAGACAGAATGGCTACTACAATAGGGCATGCAGAAGAAGTAAGAAGTATATGAATATAAAACAGGATGTAGTATGAGTCCAAATGACATGCATGTAAAAAAGCATAAAAAAAGTACCGAACTCCAAGGTAAATTCAAAAAGGGGAAATCCATAAAATCTGACAAAATAAAACGTTTTCAGTCAATGAAAAACAACTGTGATATTCCTGACATGGTACAGGCATTTAAGCAACTTTAGGTTACCCTAAGACCTCCAATAATGAGTAAAACCCATACCTTATATAGTCAACCAATCGAGGTAAAACAATTGAAAAAACAAACCTAATGGCCTCATTTATGACAAAACACTCAAGGAAAAACAAATATGACAGACAAAAACCAGTGACAATCACTGAATAACATGCTCCTGACTTGGTGGTGTTCAACCTGTTTGTGATCTCTCAACCCTCCCCTTACCAAACAGCACATCATAAGAAAAAAACTGTAAGAATGTCAGAAGCATATTCCCTGGGCTGTATCATAGTTGTTGTAATAACTTAAAGCTACATCTGCATTAGATTCTTTTATTATTCATTTTAAAGGGCCTCCCATTTGTGCCTCCACCTCCGCCACCAATAAATGATGAGTTAATGAATGGTGATAATGAAGCCTTATGTAGTATGCTGATGTCCTGGTATATGAGTGGCTATCACACAGGATATTACCAGGTATGTTGAAAATGGAGTGGATTTCACCCTTGTCCGTCTGTACATACGTCTGTACATCCCAAAGTTGGTTTCCATTCTCTAACTTTAGTTTGCTTCAACCAAATGTTATGAAACTTATACAAAATGCTTATTACCACAAAACACAGATCAAGTTTGAATTTTGGTGGCGTCACTTAAACCGTTCTAGAGTTATGCCCCTTTACAAATGGAAAAATTGCTGAATTTTTTGTTTCCGTTATCTAACTTTAGTTTTCCTCAACCAAATGATATGAAACTTATACACAATGCTTGTTACCACAAAACACAGATCAAGTTTGAATTTTGGTGGCGTCACTTTTACCATTCTAGAGTTATGTCCCTTTTCAAATGAAAAAAATTGCTGATTTTTTTGTTTCCGTTCTCTAACTTTAGTTTGCCTCCAGCAAATGTTAAGAAACTTATACACAATGCTTATTACAACAAAACTCAGATCAAGTACAAATTTGGATAGTGTCACTTTTACTGTTCTTAAATTATGTCCCTTTATAACTTTATATGCAAGCAGGGGCATCATCTGTGTCCCATGGACACATTCCCCATTTATTAATTAAGACATTAGATGCCATTTCTTAATCTTAAAGAAGCTTATTTTCAAGTTTCAAAACTTTCAATGAAGTTTTTCAAAGCAAAAAATATCTTAAAAATGTATCCCAGATTGTATGTTATTGTTGACTGCAAAACAAACTTAGTACACTTGTCAGTAAAATCTGCAAAAATAAAAAATTAAAAATTTTGATTCAGACATTATTTCTAATTGATAAAAAAGCTTTCATAAAATTATAAGAAGGTTTGACAAAGTTATTTAATGTCTTAACTTTAAACCCAGACTAACTAAATTCAAACTGTCCTTTTATCAGTAAAATAAGGAAAAACTAAGAAAAGTTTCTGGCTACTGCATTTTGTTCATTTAAAAAGCTCTCTCCGGATTTCAGAAAATTCCATGAAGATCTGACAAAGTTATTGATGTCTGAAAAACTTTTAACCTTAGAGAGCAAGGTGAGAGAATAAAATTCAGTCCATCTATCAGTTTAATAAGGGGAAAAACAATCAAAATTTTACTCAGGATACTGTCTTTTGATTATTAAAAAGCTTCTGTCCAATTTCATAAGATTCCATGAAGGTTTGACAAAGTTATTGATGTCTGAAAAACTTCAACCTTATAGTACATTAAGGTATATCTTAATGTTAAGTACGAAAAAAAGTCTTTCAGTTTAATAAGAAAAAAAGAAAATAATATTTATAAAATTATAGCCTGAAATAGGGGGAAATAGAAAAGGGTGGGAAAAAAATAACGATTATTAATTTGGGAACTGGCGTAGTTCAAAGAAAAAGATGGGCTTGGGAAAAGGGAAGGATACCAGTCTGATAATAATAATAATAATAATAATAATAAATTCTTTATTTAAAGAGGGTAAACTCAGTTAGTTACAATAAACTAATCTTCCCTGAGGCCCTCACATGGTATCTATTACTATGGTATACATGATTCATTGTATTTAAATCTGATATCATTTTAAAATCATCAGTCAAGATTTCATTTTTTTTACAACATATGGAACAATAAAATATTTCAGACATTTTAGAACAGTATAAAATGAATTTGTCATATTAATTTATTTGTTAAAATCAATTCTTTTTATTTTCCGTGGGATTTTTAAAAAGTTGTATTTTATCAAATGAAATATGTAATGTTAATAAAAATAAATTGTGTTGTTTAAGTTATGCCTTTTGTTAAAGCGATAGATATTTGTTCGTAAAGGTACAATCCCTGAGGCCCTGATCATGGCCAAAGGGAGTTAACTATATTGTTCTCTCACCTGTCAACATCAGTGTCAACAACTACTTTTTCTCTGCTGCCCCTCTTTGATTTAGGATTAGACAATTGTTTGAGTATGGCATATAGTTAAGTAACATAAGCCAGATTTAACAGTACTAAATTTACCTTTTTCAGGGACAGAACCAAAGAAAACGTCAAAGGTATACCTCTACAGAACAAGACTCGGCAAGATAACATATGGGAACTTACTGAACAACATCTCATATTGTTCTCCATTACTTACTTTGTTGTAAATGTTATTTTGTTTGTGAGTACAAACCAGCATGTACTGCAGTGACAGGGATGTCAATAATCAAACAAGCATTTGTATGTATCTTGAGTTATGAATGAATGTCATGAATGGAGGAATGATTCATTGTTTTTGAATCTGATATCATTTTAAAATCATCAGTCAATATTTCATTTTTTTTACAACATATGGAACAATAAAATATTTCAGACATTTTAGAACAGTATAAAATGAATTTGTCATATTAATTTATTTGTAAAAATCAATTCTTTTTATTTTCCGTGGGATTTTTAAAAAGTTGTATTTTATCAAATGAAATATGTAATGTTAATAAAAATAAATTGTGTTGTTTAAGTTATGCCTTTTGTTAAAGCGATAGATATTTGTTCTTAAAGGTACAATTTGATTTGCCTCTTCAGCATTGTAAAGATATGGCTTTTCAATAGGTTTGGTTGTTTAAGTCTTATTTCTATAGCTGTATGAATAATAAATTTTGATTTTTATGTCTGAAGCTACATGTCATTTTATCAACTAACTGAGAATAAAGATTCATAGACCTTATATAAAAGCTGATTTGATTTTATGCAAAGCTGCTGCGGGCCACAGATGTTCCAATTGAACTCTATATAAATAATTTTCCATTCCATTAGTGCATTAGTCCTTTGAATTATTTTGTGCTGCTATGTTTAGGCTGTCTGTTCAATGGACCAGTGTGAGCTATTCCCATGTTGTCATTTTACTTGTCAATCATCTGTACTATATCATCCGTCATCGTTTACAGTAAAAATAAAACTTTGAGGAAATTATACATTTACTTCCCTTTTAAGAGTTATGGCCCTTATCTGCCATTAAGCATGGCCACCAATAGTTTGTCGACTATTTTGTGGCCCTGCCCCCTAGGACATGGTCCAGTGACTTTGAATTAATTAGCAGTTTTCAATGTTAAATTTTCTGCTTAAGCTAGATGAATAGGAACTACTTACAATAGACAACGATATTTTCAATATAGTTACATTACTGTCTATATCTTAGTTTGTCAACCATTTTCAGGCCCTGCCCACTAGATCATGGTCAGGTGACTGAATTAATAAGCAATTTTGCTGTCCATCAGATTATGGCCTATCAAAGTGATCAAGTCTTCAATATAAAGAACCTACTTCCATTGGTCTATACAAAAACAAATGCCAACAATAACAATTAGTTATCTAACATGTGGTACTTAGACTAGTGGCCTATCAAAGTGATCAAGTCTTCAATATAAAGAACCTACTTCCATTGGTCTATACAAAAACAAATGCCAACAATAACAATTAGTTAGCTTTTAGTGTGTTTTCTGCATTTATTTCAATCGTTCTTTTTCAATTTCTTCATCTGTTGTCAGGGTGAAAGGTTTCAGATTTTTCCTCCAACATCATGTTGTTTTTGTCTCATCTGCGATAAAAGTTGTAGAGAGCAAGACATAGAGATTGCTTTTCCGGCGACGACGTCAACAATTGTTCAGTTTTCTGCGTAAGTTAGTTTGAAAGGAACTACTTGTGATAGGTCATTGATATTTTATATAAAGTTGCATTACTATCAGAACATATCAGTATCACGACTATTTTGAGGCCCTCCACCTAGGTCATGGTCCAGTGACTGAATTAATTAGCAATTTTCAATGGTAAGTTTTCTACTGAAGTCAGATTGATAAGAAAAACTTGTGATAGATCAAAGATATTTTGTATGAAGTCACATTAGTACATATCAGTTTGACAACTATTTTGTGGCCCTGCCCCCTAGGACATGGTCCAGTGACTTTGAATTAATTAGCAGTTTTCAATGTTAAATTTTCTGCTTAAGCTAGATGAATAGGAACTACTTACAATAGACAAGGATATTTTCTATATAGTTACATTACTGTCTGTACATCTCAGTTTGTCAACCATTTTCAGGCCCTGCCAACTAGACCATGGTCAGGCGACTGAATTAATAAGCAATATTGCTGTCCATCAGATTGTCTTTTTCTGAATTAAATGCTGACAGGCGATACATATCTCTGTGTCAACAATTTATTATAAAGGAATGTAACACCACTACTAACTTATTAAAATAAACCACGCCTTGTAGCCCCATATTAAATATACAGGGTCTCCAAGCGGTTGCTTTTAACCAATGATATTTATAGAAATGTATAGGAAGGTAAGATAAGGTATATTATTTGGTGATGAGTAGTTATAAATCAAGTATGAGTTTTGTGTATTAGTTGCTCCTCTTTTGGCCAAATTACTAGTTTTCTGCTCCATTTTCAGTATTTGTTTTGTCTCAGTTGTCCTACTCTTTGTTTTATTTAGAACATTTCCTGACAATCACAGATTTCTGTCCTCTTAGCAGAATAAAAACTGAATTGTGGAATTACCACAATAGCTACAGATCATATGTAAGCCTCAGTATGGTTGATCTTAATACAACATTTAAAGAGGCTATTGTCATTCAACATTTATTCTGGATAGGATTTCCAAAGGTCATTTTAATTGTTTTTTTTTACTCTAAAAATTGCAAATAGCACTAAGTACATGTGAAATGGTTGTTTTTTTTAGTTGTATATTTGGAAATATACATAACCTTTTAAGGTCAAATATGAGTGTATTAAGGAACTACTCACAATTTTTTTTCTGAAATAAATTACATTTGCTAATTTTTATTGCCAGTTTTTGAGTTAACTTCCCTGAAGTGATCCCTTTAATAATTGTATCTACCTCAAGTCCATGTTTAATATGGGAAACCCCAAAAATCACTCTAATCAGCATTAAAATAGAAGGTGCACTACTTCATTTGAAAATAAGGAGATGATTGCCGATGAAATAACTATAGCTATTCACTTAGTCACTTAGTGCAATTAGGTCTCCCTTCATGTTAAGAATTCTTGTGATACTGATTGTTCTAACTGCTATGTTTGTGAACTGGTACTTGGAAATACGATGTTTTTAATCGACACCACATTAATCAACCAGTTGATCTATTTTAATGCCTTATTATACCCCACACAACAAAGTTGCAAAGGGTATAATGTTTTTGACCTGTCCATCTGTCTGTCAGTTCATTAACCCATTGTTGTCATAGAAACTCCTCAGGAACCACACAACAGAACTTAATGAAACCTTGTAGATAATAAGGACATACTATGTTGATGTGCATATTGACAGGAAATTAAAATTTAGTTCTGTCTCGCCAGAGATGAAAGTCGCGAGACAAAGGTATTGTTTTTCTGGTGGCGGCAGATGCGTCAACAATTGTTAAGTTTTCTGCTAAAGTTAGTTTGATAAGTATTACTTGTAATAGATCAATGATATTTTCTATAAGGTTGCTTTACTATCAGTACATATTAGTTTGAAGACAATTTCGAGGCCATGTCACTAGGTCATGGTCCCGAGATTTTGAATTATTTAGCAATGTTGCTGTCTTTTTCAATTTTCTGCTGACAGGAGAGACATATATCTGTGTCAACAGTTTATTTTTTTCTAGGAGTTATACTCCTTTGAGTTTTGGCTTAATATACTTCTGCAACAGTTTGTCATTGCAACTCTTCTTAAACCATACAACAGAATTTCATGGAACTTTGTAGATAATAATGACAGACTATGTAAATGTGCATATCAGCAGGAAGTTTTGATTCAATTTTTTTTCTAGGAGTTATGCCCATTTGAAATTAGAATTTTGGCCTTAATATACTACTGCAACAGTATGTCATCGCAACTCCTCTGAAACCACACAATAGAATTTCATGAAAATTTGCAGGTACTTAGGACATACTGGTACTATGTAGAAGTGCAAAACGACTGGAAATTATGATTCAATGTTTTTCTAGGAGTTTTGGCCCCTTGAACTTAGAATTTTGACCTCAATATACTACTGCAATAATTTGTCAGTGCAACTCCTATGAAACCACACAACTTTATAGTTAATGAGGACATATATTAACTGTGCATATCCAGAAGAAATTTTTATCAGTTGACTTTTGTAGGAGTTATATAAGTCTTTGAACATAGGAATCTGGTGAGATTTTGTTTGCCCAGTGACAATGTGGGGAATGCGAGCGTGATCACAAAGGTTCTTTCATTAGACAATTGCAGGCTAGAATTATTCAGCATTGAAGAACTAACTGAGATGTAACATTTAATTGAAATCACCTTATACAAACATCTTTTCTGTGGATTATTTCTTAGATATCCATGATTAAAACAAAACAAGAATGTGTCCATAGTACACGGATGCCCCACTCGCACTATCATTTTCTATGTTCATTGGACTGTGAAATTGGGGTCAAAACTCAAATTTGGCATTAATATTAGAAAGATCATACCATAGGGAACATGTGTACTAAGTTTCAAGTTGATTGGACTTCAACTTCATCAAAAAATACCTTGACCAAAAACTTTAACCTGAAGCGGGACAGACGGACGAACGGACGCACAGATCGAAAACATAATGCCCCTAGGTGGGGCATAAAAAGATCTCTTTTTACTAGTTCAAAGCTGGATTCATAAAATATTTCAGTATTTTAGATGGTAGACTATTGATGTCTTATTTGCTTTATTGTGTTCTTGGGTTACAGTCTCATTGAAAAAAAAAACTCTATATCTTCTGTTATTCAATTAAAGTGATTGATCCATTTAAACATCATAAACTTGTGATGATCGACCAAGATTTGAAAAAGCCTTACACATTTTAAATATAGAATATAATGGTAGAACAAATTAATTCAATTTTTATTTAGTAAAAAAATATATTGTATACAACTACATGTACCCATTTTTAATACACAATTTATCGGCAACAAGTTTTTTTAATGCATAAAAATATAACAAACTGCAATTTCAGAATATATAACAAAGTGAATGAGCAACTTCTCTTATACTGTCTCCGAATATCTACTGATTCTAACTAAGTCAAAATCATTAAAATACATGTGATGTTAATGCAACTGTAAAATTTAATTATAAACAAATTTTGTAACAACTGTATATTTTATACATTAAAAGTTTATTAGAAGGGAAAAAATATCACAATTAAAGCACCATTATATATTTCTCCTTTAGATAACAACATTTTACATTATGTTTTTACATAAAATATGTTGATGACACACAAAATGTCCTTATAAAAAATATATGGTTAAAAAAATGTGTTATAGCACCTATGACTGAGTAAATCAGTCTTCATTTTATGTCTGGCAATTTGAATTTCTGTCTTAAATAATACCTTTATTTATTTAGCAATAGTAGAACAAAATGGCTAAACTATACAATTTGTGACTAGACTATTTTATAAAGATAAATTCTTTTATAGGCAAAAAAACATTTAAAAGTATCACTGTAAATAAATGCATTTAAAAAACACAAGTAAATAAATATATTTATTTCTTACACTACAACCTGTTAAGTAAAAAAAAAAAGTTTTTGGTCTGAAATATTGCTGAAACCAAAATCACAAACCTGGATGTGAGGCATGGTTAAAGGCACTGGTGTTTTTTGAATAAATTACCTTACTGAAAAGATCAAATTAGGGATTTAAAAAAGCAGCTGTGTATTATAATAATTATGTACATGTTCTCTTTACACATTCAAAGCAGAAGGTATAATAAGACCACCTTTTGGGCCCCTTGGATTTGAAAATTTGAAAGTATTCTAAAGCCATCAAATTAAATCCTTAAGATGTTTATAAGACATTTATCTGTCAGATATCAGTATTTATATTTTTGAATTTTGTTTTCATTTTATCTTCAGGGCATCAACTCCCTGCATTTAAATGCAAAATTGCAAGTAAAAAATCCAAAATATCCTCGAGATATTTTCATTAGTATTTAGTACTACAGCTTCCTCCACCTATAAAAACTGGCCCCATGAAATAGCCAACAGTGCTGAAAGTGGTGTTAAACACCCAACAATCAATCAATCATACAATCAATTTCCTGAAGTTGATGACATCACATACAAGTAACATATCTGCACTAAAATCACCTGATCTATCATCCTATTATTAACCAATGACATTACTGGGACTTGACTGTAAGTGTTGCTCTCCACCTATTGCAGTTCATTCAAAATTTTGACCCTTTGCAATTTGTTTTATGAACCCAAACTGTTAAACTGGACAGAAATGTTATCCAATTGCTGTAGAAAATCACAGTCAAGTTAACAAAGTGCAAGGCAATAAAATAAGCATTCTTACAATCCTATACAACTTTAATTCCGCTAAATTGCTATTATAAAACTAAAATGAAAATTTCTATACATTCATATTATTGTAGAGTCATCCATGGGAGATAATCTAAAATTATTGATCTTTTGAAATATTTATCTTATCTCCTTTTGAATCTTCAAGAGAACATACTTAAGTTTAAAGTATATTTTGCCAAGTATTTTAGATATTCATTTACAGAAAGCCAAGTAGCATGCACAGAAAAATACCAATTCAGAAGAAATAATTCAAGAACTTGTATTTGGACACTTTTTTTGGTAATTCAAAAATTACTACCTATCACCTTTTTCAAAAGACTACAATAACAATATATACCGGTATAGAAATTTTCAAATTCAATTTCATGACCCCTTGCAAGTGACCCACATAGGTTGTCAAGGTTGGTTAACACCCCTAAGTAGAATTTTCATAATAGCAATTTAGTGGAATTAAAGATGAAAAAAAAAGTTTTGGAATTGTAAAAATTTGTGACCAGTTGAACAGTTTAATTTGGTAAAACAAATTGAATATGGAATGAACTGCAATAGGTGTAGTGCAACACTTACTGTCAAGTCACAGTAATACACTTGAAAACAAATTACTAGTTTTGCAATTCCAGGGCAAAATAATGGTTCTTATCATACCTCCACCTTCACAATGATATTTCAAAATAACTTAGCATTAGCTCTGACACTGCATATCTTGTATGTACGTCTTCATTGTTGAAGGGATTAATTTCCAGTCCATACAGTTAAAGACTGAATTGGTTTACCGGCTTAATAATGAGTAATCTATTCAGTAAACAAAATTAAGTACCCTAAAATAAATGAACTAACTCAGCATTGGTTAATTGTGTTACTGATTGGACAATATTAAGTATCAAATACATACACATGTATATAATAACCAAACATTGGATAAATATACCAGTAATTCTGATTCTTCCACTGCATCAAGTGGGATAAAAACATTTATTATATAAATTTTACTGCACCAGATATGCATTTCACCAATTAATGTCTCTTCAGTGATGCCCCAGGCAAAAATATGCATATAAAAAATAACTTGTTGTAAAATATAGAAAAAAGATATGTCAAATTGCCATGTTACTAATAGTTATTTTTACTTGATTAACATGTATTTATTTATATAAAACAAACTTAAAATATATTCCAATGAGTAAATGTTATATTAGATTTCCATTATAGAAGCATTACCCCTTATGATTTCTATAACAGTTATTGTTGATAGCAAATAATATTTCTGTACAGTCAAGCTGTTTTATCTTTCTTTCCACCATATATGACCTTTACAACAGCTTTTCCAAGGTTTGTAGCTACTCCAACTATATTTGGTGCCTGCAATAACAAACAATTGTAGTGTAATGCTGTTTCCTTGATCTTTTTGGTAATGTTGTTGTGGTTGAAAGAAAGTATTTCAAAATCATGACTTTATCATAATATAAAAGGCCTATGGTATTTGTACACATATAAAATACTCTAATAAATTACATATAGTGTGTACAATGTACCGCATCATTATTTGAATTAGATATACCCCCAGTACAAGATTCATTATTATTCATGGGATACCAATTTTCGATGATTTCCTGGATTCAGGTGAACCACAAATTTGAATGTTTAAGGAATTACAAATTTTCTTTAGTCTTATATGCAGAATATGGCAAAACCATGATATCAAATATCCAAAAAAATGCAAGTTTTACTCAATCCACTAAAATTGGTATTCATGAAAACAAATGACTCCACAGTATTTGAAAATAGGGTTGTCACAACTGTTATATCATAAATACATTTAAACAACCTTTTGCTTTCTTTACACTTTAATTCAAATTATTACCTCTTACAAAGTATAATCTGTAAATAATGAATAGATGTCTTTGTCAAATATCTTGAATTTCTATGTACAAAAGTATAACAAAATACTTACATAGACAAAGAAATCTTTGAGTAAAATTCCATAAAACAACCAGGCAAAAGAACAACTGAGGTTTCCAACAATCATAGCTACAGACATTCCTTCTGCACTTTTATCTTTCATACATTCAATCTGTAAATATAAAAGTATGTTTACAGCATTTATTGTTGAGGGTCCAAAATCAAATTCATTAGTTTCTGTTTTTGCTAAAAATTCAAAAAGTTTATAGATTTCATGTTAACAAAGTTCATGCAGTTTCTAATGTTTCCAATATACAAAATGGTGCAAAAACTTATATAACTGAACACACAACAATTCATTAATTCACAATATCACATGATAAAGTTGTAAGTTGGAATTACCTGGCTGTTAGCTATAATACCTACTGTAAATTCACATATTTTTTATTTATTTTTGTGAATCTTCAACAACTGATTACAATACAAGATTAATAAATGTGGACTCTTGACTTCCTGTACATGTTGTAGTAGAATGTTAACCTGTGAGTTTTAATTTTTGTGATTTTCAACAAAGTCACTTTTTCCACTTACCAGTAAATAATAATTTAGCAATTACTTAATCCACAAAATTTGTTTTTGGATGAAAAATACACAGAAACATTCTATTCAATCGAATGAAAGTTTGAAACTACTGTCCTTTTTGTCAAGCCTGCATTGAAGGTTGTAGAAGTAAGATGTAGCAATTCTACATCACATTGGTGTTGTCAACATTTAGGTTCAGATGCTTTATTAAGACATCATTAATCTTGTCGAAATTCCTGGAATTTTAACTTGGACATAAGCTTTTTTGTAATCTTTTCTTTATGATAAATGGACTAATTTTTTTTTTGCAGTTAGCAGACATATTATAATAGTTCACACATGTCTTATAGATAGAAAAGCTAACAAATAAGTCATACCACTTCCAAAGCAGGAGATGCTAAGAGTACCAAACTGATGAAGAACATCATCAGTCCATACTGTTCTGTAACTTGTTCTTCATGTACCACAATACGAACACAATACCAGTGATTTACTAATAAAAATGTTGATCCAAATAACACCTGTAGCAATGGTTTACTCTGAAATATCAATTGGAAACAAGGTTAACTTTCAAAGTTGTGAATATTTCAATAACCTATATATAATAATCCATTCTGTATATCAAAATTTACATGAAGTTGGTTATAATGAAGTTCTTTTTCATCCCCAATCCAGGAAGTTTGCTTTATTCTCACTAGCAAAATGTGTCTAATCATGGAACTTAAGTTAATTCTGATATGTCTGACTGGAAAATATAATTTTATTCATGAACGAACACTGGATGACTCTGACAGGCAAAATATAATCTAAGGGGCCATTTAAATTACATCATTATATGAATATTTTTTCTGGAATACATTATTAGCAATTATGTTTAATAGTTGCATTACCCTTTTTAATTTTTTTTATGCCCCCGCCCTAGTGGAAGGGGCATTAAGTTTTACCCTTGTCCGTCTGTATGTCCGTATGTCCCAAAATAGCTTTCCGTTCTCTAACGTTAGTTTACCTCAACGAAATTTTATGAAACTTATACACAATGCTTATTACCACAAAAGTCAGATCAAGTACAAATTTGGGTAGTGTCACTTTTACTGTTCATGAGTTATGTTCCTTTATAACATTATATGCAAGCGGGGGCATCATCTGTGTCCCGTGGACACATTCCCCATTTATTTTTAAATATGAAATTAAAAAAAAAACATAAAAAATTACCAAAAAAGTTGGCATTCAAAGTTTTAATCTCTCAAATTTTTTGAAGATGAGTTTAGTTATTTCACTTCCAAAAAGGCAAACAGCATGCATCAATTTGTCAGATAAAGAACTGTGTGTAGTAGATTTTGTCTTCTGAAATGTTTAAAACTTAAGGCTTTCAACATACAGCCTTTATCTCAAAGTAAGAAGAAGTAGTAGTAAATTTTGTTTAGAGTCGGACAAGATATGTACAAATCAACATAGTAAACATGAGCTCTGCTCAGTACAGAGGTTGGAGCAAACTACAGTCAGGATATTAAAACAATACTTTACCACATTTTATATTACATAAAATTTCAAAACAACTACAGTAAGCTTAGTCTAAAGAGATGAAATAAGTTCCTAACCGTTTTAAGTATATAAACAAGCTCAGAAAATAATTCCTAAAGTATAGTATAAAATATATCATGAAGTTTAACTAACTTACCTTGGATTTAGTCATGGCAATGTATGAGACTACACCTACAGCACTCATGATCATGGCTAAAAGGTTGATGTATAGTAAGGTAGCATTAGATATCATTAAACCATAAATTGTTCCCACCACACCACTGTAATAAATCAATTAGTTGATGGTAATACATGAACTACACCTTGACTTGTTCCCACTACACTTCTATGGTTAAATATATATAATTATTGGCTGTATCAAAGAAAACAGTTGATGAAAGACCAAACTGTAATGGCCAGTTAACTGGACAACTAGTAAACCATAAATTGTTCCTAGCTGTTAAGTGTGTGGTAATGGTGGACACCAGTACACCATGGGTTTTTCTTGCTACACTACTATCTGTAATAAGTCATTCATACTGATGTAGTGTGTAGGCTTGTACATGTTGTATGCAAATATTGGCAAAACCGCAAAATTTTAGTTTTCTGTAATCTACAAAAATTGGTACCCATAAAAACAAATGAATCTACAGTAAGCTATCAGATTATTGAATAGTCTTGGTGTTCCTTCTCATGGTAGCTTACAAGTGGTAATGAGTTCCATCCCATACTGGGTCAAATAAAAGACTTTTGCTTAAAATTGCTGCTTCTCTGCCAAGTACAACAAAGCAGATTTAATATGCTTTTTTCTTATTAACTTGAAATCATCCTGAAAATTCAAGCAACATTTCCCACTAGATATATTATATACTTTTAGGAGCTTGAAATATTGAAATACAATTTTTATGGATATCTGTAGATGATTATTATTTTTTTCAAAGACAGATTTATTTCCCGTGTGATTTACAAGGATATATATGTTAACGTTTTCTTGGCTAAGTCAACATGTTAAAGGTCCTTGATATAAGTATGTATGTCCTTTGCTTATCATAGCAAATAACATGATTTTCATAACTTCTAGATTTTTTATTATATCTATTTTCTTTATCATTTGTTAATCCTTATTATTAAAATCATTCTTGATTTTTCCACATCAGAAAACATAAAACTTTATATTTCTACTTTATATTTCTAAAACTGTATCCAAAAACCTTTACCAGGAGTATACATTTAGTATGAATCACATTGACTTCCGAGAATTGCTATGTCCACTAACTGACATTTAGGTAGACTTTTTTTACATTGCACAAGGTCATGTTTTTCTCTGACTATTAATGACGTTTTAACACTAAATCTTTTTTGATATTTAGTCTTAGACACATGATTTTTTTTATTAGTTGCTATTGGCTTTGAACAAGCTTTCAGTAACTGCAAGTACTCTCAGATCTGTACTTGAGTTTTTTGTGTTTTTGTTAGGGTTTTTATGTGCTTTGTATTGATCTGATGAGTTTTCAACTGATTTTTACAGTTTTTTCTTATGTCATACTGTTACACCACTGTCCCAGGTTAGGGGGAGGGTTTGGCGCCAGCAAACATGCTTAACCCGCAACATCTGTATGTGCCTGTCTCAAGTCAGGAGCCTGTATTTCTATCAGTGGTTGTCGTTTGTTGCTGTATATCATATTTCTTTGTTTGTTTATTGCTTTGTACATAAATCAGGCCACTAGTTTTCTCATTTGACTTGTTTTACATTTGTCATTTCCGAACCTTTTATAGCTTACTATGGGGTATGGGTTTTGCTCATTTTTGAAGGACATAGGTGACGTAAAGGTGTAATACCACCATTGATTTTCCCCTATTAGTCTTTGTTAAATTTGCACTTTTCAAAAAATTGTGCAGAATTTATCTTTGTTTCAAATAAAGAAATACTTGGCATGTGTAAAGTTTTATCCTGTCCAGTACTATAGACAAAATTTCCCCCCCCCCCTTTTTTTTGCTTTTGTGCAATACACTATGCTGTTGCAAATTTCCCCTCCCCCCTCCCAAAAAAAAAATTTACCCCCCCCCCTTTTTTTTGCAAAAAAAAAATATTTGAAGAAATTTTCTTTTTAATTTCTGAAATCTGAAATGAAAAAAAAAATTGCCCCCAACAATTTCTTTTTTAAATAGATAATTCAAAAGCAGTGTAAGGGAGGTAATCCAACATTGTACAATTTTGTTTTTGGATTACCTCCCTTACACTGCTTTTAAATTGTCCATTAACCAGGAAACCCTTGTTTTTTCCCCTTTTTTGCCCCTTATTCCTTAACGGTTTGAGCCATAACCCCCAAAGCCAATCCTAACCATCCCTTTGTGGTATGGAAACTTGTGGTATAATTTCAGAGAGATCCATATACTTAAACACAAGTTATTGTCTGGAAGTTACAAAAATGCTTATTTTTGGCCCCTTATTCCTTAACTGTTGGTAACATAACCCCCAAAATCAATCCCAACCTTCCTTTTGTGGTATTGTACCTTATGGTAAAATTTCATAAGAGATCCATTCACTTAAACTAAAGTTATTGTGCGAAAACCAATGTGTCTTCGGACGCCAACGTCATACCAATATACGGTCGTATAAAAAATAAGGGTGCTTTGAAACACCCAAGATATATGTTTATGACTCAGAATTTTTTTACTGCAATGAAATGTAGGATTAATTTCCTACAACTGTCAAATTCAAGGGAATATTTTTTTTCGACCCTTTTTCGTATGCAACCGGATGTGACGTACTATGATTTGGTGGTATTACACCTTAAGCAAGAGCAACACGAACTCCTTGTATACAAAACTGAACTTATATTTCAAGTTTATATAACAACTGCAAAATAAGGGTTTGCTCATTTTTGAAGGTCGTACTGTTTCCTGTATTTTTCCACATCTTGTCCTCTGGTGGATAGTTGTCTCATTTGCAATCAAACCACCTCTCCTTATTTTTATATTTATACTTACTTCATCATTCCAAGAAAAAAAAAAATAAAAGGAACATTTTTAGTGATACCAGTCTTTATCATATGGATACATGGTGGTCTGAAATTTAAAAAAAAATGAGGAATTCATATTCAGTTGTATACATTAATGAATAATCATATTTTGAAGAGAGATTTTTGGTAGTCTCTGATAAATTTATTACAGTATTTTTAGACTCTGAGTATAGGTTAAAGTTTCACATTTTGAACATAAAATGTGCAGGTTAACCATAGGTGTAAGAGATTTATCATTGTCCTCTCCAGAAACTCATTTCCAGAATCATTAAGTTTTACTCTCAAATTATAATTTGAAGCAAGTTTAATTTCCCTTGTCGGAATAAAAACTTCTTTGCAGCTATGAAGCTGAACGAAAAGTCATATTAAGTGGGTTTTAATCCCTGTTAATTCAAAAATAATATTTGGGTTATATAAATATAACAAAAGTGCACATGCTGAAATGTCTCGCCTGTTTTACTTATCATTGAATTTATATTGAAAGTCTGTAATATGAAGGTTTTACTACAAGTATCACATAAACTTAACATTGACCAATGAACCATGAAAATGAGGTCAAGGTCATATGAACCCTGCTAGACAAATATGTACACCTCACAATTATTCCATGCACTAAATATAATTGACCTATATTGCTTATATCTGTGAAATAACCATACTACAAAAACTAAAAATTGTCCAGTGAACCATGAAAATGAGGTTAAGGTCAGATGAAACCTGCCAGACAGACATGTACACCTGACAATCGTTCCATACACCAAATATAGTGGCACTGTTGCTTACAGTACCTGATAAATTATTAAGACCAAATCACAAAAAATAAACATTCGTTCAATGAACCATGAAATTGAGATCAAGGTCAGATGAAATCTGTCAGTCAGACATGTACCCCTTACAATCATTCCAAACACCAAATATAGTTGACCTATTGCTTATTGTATCTGAGAAATAGACCAAACCACAAAAACTACACATTGTTCAATAAACCATGAAATTGAGGTCAAGTTCAGATGAAACCTGTCAATTACATGTACCCCTTACACAGGCACTTGTCTCAGAAAAAAAATTTCCTATATACCTTAATGTGTTATATTAAGGTATATAGGAATTTCTTTTTCTGAGACAAGTGCCTGTGACCCCTTACAATCATTCCATACACCAAATATAGTTGACCTATTGCTTACAGTATCTGAGATACAGACTTGACCACGTAACTTGATCACTGATCCATGGAATAAGGTTGAGGTCAGGTGAACCTGACGGACATGTAGACGTTGCAAGAAACCCATATACCAAATATAGTTATCCTGAGGATTATAATTACTCATAATAAGTGAGTATTTCACTTAACAAAAAATTGTAATTTTTTTTCAAGCAGTCACTGAACCATGAAAATGCGGTCAAGGACAATGTACATATATGACAGACTGAAACTTCGTAACATATAAGGTATCTGCAAACAACTGTATGAAGCATCCAGGTCTTCTACCTTCTGAAATATAAAGCTTTATAAACAAATAGTTTACGCCTTCGCCGCCGCCACCGCCAGATTTTAATATCTATGTCTTGCATACTGCGACTTTTGTTGCAGGCAAAGAAAAATATTATTTCTTTAACTTTAAACGATCTAGTAATTAACATGATTATAAACATGATAAACATGATAAAGCTGGGAATGTTTGTAAATTAAAGTAACACATTGTTTTATTATAATTGAAGTATCATTACTCAAAATGACAATTAAAACAAATATATACAAATATATAAAAACTTGAGGGAACAAACATTTAACTTCAAGGGGGGATATGGTTTTTTATATATATTCATGGTTTAAATTTTTTTCATCAGATGGACACATCTATTCTTTTACTGATTTTATGAACGTAATCCACTCTAATCTTAATTGAATAGAAATGGCAGTTTTCATTTGGAAAATCAGTAGTTCTCATTCATATTTTAAATGAATGTCCAATTTTCTACCAGAAAAATAAATCATTTATTTTTTCAAATGTTTTAGACTTTTTCAACTCGCAACTTGACTTTTGTAACTTTCAACTTGCTTTCTTAACTCTCAACTCAACTTTTGTAACTTGCAACTCAACTTTTTTAACTCACAACTCGCCTTTTATAACTCACAGCATGACTTTCGTAACTCACAACTCTACTTTAATAAATTGAAACTCGACTTTTATAAATTGAATAGCATCTCCACTTTTATAAATCTCGATCAACTCGACTTTTATAAATCCCAACTCAACTTTTGTAACTCACAACTCAACTTTTATAACTCGACTTTTATAAATAGCAACTCCACTTTTATATAAATCTCAACTCGACTTTTGTAACTCACAACTCAACTTTTGTAACTCACAACTCAACTTTTATAACTCGACTTTTATAAATAGCTGAACTCCACTTTTATAAATCTGAGAACTCGACTTTTGTAACTCACAACTCTACTTTAATAAATTGAAACTTGACTTTTATAAATAGTAACTCCACTTTTATAAATGTCTACTCAACTTTTATAAATCACAACTCAACTTTTATATCTCACAACTCGACTTTCTTAATTTGCAACTCTGTACTCAACATAACTTGAACTGATAAGGTAAATCTCTGCAGTATTAAGTGGCTGTAGTCAAACAGGTATATTATAGAGCATGTAGTTAATGGCTATATATTTTCAAGGATATTTTGGTACTTAGACTGCATCTCACAAGATCCAGACATAAATGTAACCAACTGTCATTGATATTTACATATATTACTTCTGTTCCAATAATTGTCTTGAACTTACATGCCACTAGCTAACGCAATTACTGTTAGACCTTGTGTTAGTTTCTCAACAATTACAAACGTGTCCATTATGATTACTGATCTACACCAGCTGGTTATTAACTTTATTACATAGTTAACTTATACCTTTACTTATCAGGATTACCTTAAATGTGCCAATAACTTGAATAAGAATCTTAAAGTTTTCAAAAGTTTACATTTTCTAAGTTAAGCCGTTTGAAATGTGACGGATATAAAGAATTATTTCATGTGTTATTTTACTTGCACATATTTTTATTGTGAAGTAGAAAGAGCTAGAGGAATGGGGAAAGTATAGTTATTTTAGTAAATTACGGTATGCAAATTCCGGAAATGAATTCTCTGTCCGACGTTGATAAAGTTTACTTCATACCCATTTGATCCAGTATGCGTTTATAGACAGCCAAATACACATTAAAAAATAAGTTACCTGTACATATTCAAAAAGTAGGACGCGGTCAGAAATTGATATCATCGGCTCATATGAAGATAAAACAGAAGGCACAATGGCATTAACAAGATTTCAGGTGTCATTCCTTGCTGCATGTTTAGCATTTCCCATTCTGCTGTTGATGAAACTGATTGGTGGAGTAGACAATGCAGCAGCAGTATTCGCAGTTGGCATCGTGTCTCTGCTTGTCGTTTTCCTCGTACCTCGGTTGTATTTCCGTGACGGTCCACCAAAACATGACCCATTTTACAACGGTAAATATTTCTCATCTCATTATAGGATGTATTTTTTTCACGGTTTCATGTCTCTACGGCCCCAAGTTGATCTGGCACAAGTCCTGATTTCAAGTTCTGCTTGCAGATAATTCTTGAGATGTTTATTATTTATGTTGCTTTTGTTTGCTCTGGTCTAGCATGTTTTATTTCATTTTAAATTTGTTGCTAAATTTTTATTGCATGCTATGTAAGTGAGATTTAACTTCGTATAACAGGTTGTTTTATATGTCAAATTAGACTGTTTTTATGTTATGTATATGTTTTTATATTCGGTCAAAAGCTCCTTAGAGCTTGTGTTGTGTCTTTTAACTTATGCCGAATCAAAATAAAGTTTTCTTATCTTATCTTATCTTATGGTCCACATTTAAACTAAGGTCGATTTAATAGGCCCCTAGATAAAAATACCTATGATTCTGGGTCCGTTCGCCCAAAATTATGTTGCTCCCATTCACGTTAGCCCCCTTTTGCATTCGTATCCCACACGTTCACACCCTTTTATTGGTTTTGTGTTGAATAAAGTTTTAAGGTTCATGTGGACCCTTTGGCTAAAATGGCTGCATTTTCACCTCATTATTTACTCTGAGTACAGACAAACCTGTGTATCTGGAAAAATGTTAAAGCATAGCATGCCCTAGATAAATAAAATTCAAATATATTTTATGTTTTAGAAAATTAAAAACTTAACAGGATTTTGCAGTGCACTTTTTTTCATTCCTCCAGAAGGTGCTAAAAAAAACTAAGTTGTGAAAGAGGTTTGAGAACTTCCCCACAGGTAAAAATTGAAATGAACTGTATTGATTGACATGGACAATAGATGGACAATAGATACCTGACAATAATTGGTGATTTAAACTGTGTACCTGAGGGACCATATCAAGTGAAACTCAACTGTTTGTTAATTTTATCATCTTCTACAGGGACGAAAAAAAGTGCACTGCAAAATCCAGTTAAGTTTTAAATTTTCAAAAACATACAATGCATTTGAATTTTATTAATCTAGGGCATGCTATGCCTTAAAACTTTTTCAGATACACAGGTTTGTCTGTACTCAGAGTAAATTTTGAGGTGAAAACGCAGCCATTTTAACCAAAGGGTCCACATGAACCTTAATCGTGTTTAAGTTTACAATTGCTATAAATAAGTTTTTCCCATTGTTTTGAATTAATAATAATACTTTATTCCGTAAGCAAATACAACTCATAGGATTAAACAGATACACAAATTATACAATTTACATATACATGATATACATATACAGCATTAATGTCATAAACAGTTTCTAACATATAGCGGAGTTTGGCATACAATTTACATTGGTAATAAAAGTACATAACAAAAATCAAGTGTTACGAATTTTCTCTGTTTCATAAAGGTATTTACCCAGCTTATTTAACTCCTTAATATTTCTTACAGATAATAACTGAACTAGTTTGAAAGTAGATGGGTTTCTAAAATAATATATCTTAATATATTTACTTCTGACATATACATATTTATCACATTCTAATATAAAATGATATTCGTCTTCGATTACTTTCTTATCACACATAGTACAAACACGGAATTTCTGGAAATATTAAAGTATCTTCCAGTTTCTACATTAAGTGAATGTGAATTGATTCTATATTTAGTTACATATGACTGGAATAAACTGTTCAATGGTAGATTCAAATAAAATTAAAATTGCAAAGTATGTCCATCATGTATATATTGATACAAATTACATATTGAAGTATTTTCAAAAAATGACAAGCCTTCAGCTATATAATTATCAACAATTCTTTTTTTTAAATTCATACAAAAATAATTGACTATTTCCAACACTTTGTGCTAACCATATATCATTAAATCCATACCTGTTTAGTATGTCTCTTATCTTACAACTCCAGTTGAGTTTATCATTCGGTTTAACAAAACTAGATTCGTACATATCTTCATAAATACTCTTCAATATACAATTATTAGATTCTAATAACTTCAACCAATAACGAACCATTCTTACATATCTATTTGCATACAGTGGTAAACGCCCAAGTTCAAAATACACCATATGATATACAGTTCCTTTTCTCACTTTCAAAATTCTTTTTAAATAATACAAATGAAGCGTTTCTATATCAGCTCCCTTATGAAAACCCCATATTTCACAACCATAATCCACAATACTTGTTACATATGTATCAAATAAGGATATCAAAGTCTCAATGTTATAACAATCATCATAAATCTTACTTAATAAACAAAATGTAGCCTTTCTACCCTGTTCAGAAAGTGTTTTCTGTGTTACAGTAAAAGTACCGTTATAATTTAATAACAAACCAAGATATACAAACTGATCACACATTTCTATCATTTTACCATTCAAATACCATTTCTCATTCTCTTTGAGTACACCTCTGTTACAAAAAACAACTATTTTGGTTTTTCTTAAATTAATGTCAAGACCATTCTTGTATGAACTATCATATACAGTGACTATCATTTTTTGTAATTCAGAAATACTTTCGCTGAAGAGAACTGTATCATCAGCATACATAAAAAGATAAATATTTAACATTTTTACTTCATATGGTTCTATTCCTTGTTTAATTAACTCAATTTCTATGTCATTTACATAAATTGCATATAAAAATGGAGATAATGATTCGCCTTGCATTAGGCCGACATTACAATGGAAAAAATCTGAAAATTCACCATCTAATTTAACACAAGTTTTTAACTTACAATACATTGATTTAATAAGATTCAATAGGTTTCCACTAATACTGCATTTTAACATTTTTTGCCATAAAACATAATGTGACACACTGTCGAAAGCTTTGACAAAATCAATAAAACAACAATATAGACGTTTTCCTTTACGAATACTTTTTGATACAACAGAATGAAGGGCAAAAATGGTGTCGTGTGTACCATATCCAGGTACAAACCCAAACTGCGCATCAGTCAATATACTGTATTCTTTGCACCACTTTAATAGTCTTGTATTAATGACAGAAGTAAACAATTTCCCAACATGAGACACAAGCGAAATTCATCTGTAATTTCCTGTATCATCAACTGGACCTTTTTTAAATAGCGGAACTAAATCACTCTTGACCCATATTTCTGGAAACCACCCGGTAATAAGTATTACGTTAAAAAGTTTACATAACAGTGTCAGTAGGGTTAATTTACACTCCTTCAGAAATTCATTTAATAAATTGTCATAACCTGTTGCCTTTTCTGTTTTCAATTTTTTAACACAAACATCAATTTCTTGTTCCGTAAAAGGTCGGTCCAATTCTTCATAAATGACTTCATTTTTGTATTCTACTTCTGGTCCGTCATCAATTTCTTCTTTAGAAACTAAGTTTTTAAAATGCTTCAAAAATCATTTAATTTTATGTTGCTTTGTATGGCCTTTTTTCGTTTTCTGAATTTTCGATAAAAGTACTTTGGATTCGTTTTTCTTATAGAACTCAACATGTTTCCCCTCTGTTTTTTATATCGTCTTTTTAAACTATTTTCACTTCGTTTAAATCTTTGTTTAACGAGATTTAAAATAAGTCTGTTTTCTTCACACTTACTTTGGTTAAAATGTATCAACGAGCGTCTATATTCTATATACAATTGTTTGCAGTCATCGTTTATCCACGGTTTATCTTGCCTTATATTTATAGGTTTATAAGTTCGCTTTGAGCTGTTACAATAATCACATTTTAAAGTTTTCGTCACTTCTGTTTTTGTATATTTATTGACAATATCTGACAGACACGAATTAATATTGTTCACAATTTCGTCGATATTCCTTGGCTCATCGGATAAACTATTCATCAGTCCATTAATTTTATTGGAATTTGCTGCAAGGTCCCTTTTAACGTCATCTTTAAACCCTTCATTCCATTTATAACAATCATATTTTACAGTTTTACAAGTACATATTTCATTTAAGGTTAATCCTTTTAGTTTAAATACAACTTTTAACGGTGCATGACATGAAAAAGTAGTAAAATCACCAATGACAAAATCATTAACAATAGAAAATGAATCACGAGATAAAACAGTCAGGGATATAACTCTATAGGGTTATTACAGAAAAATAACATACATTTGTTATTGTGGACTAAAAAATCAAAGAACTGTGATAACTTATGCATGTTATATGTTTCAAAGGGACAATATACATCATTAGTTTAGTTAAAATGTATAAAAGTTCTATTGATACTACTTTTGTCTATATGTATACTTACTATTGAAAGATATAACAGTTCATAGTTTGCCAATTTTGCATAGTACACCTATATGTTATTACAGAAAAAATATGCCTGTAATAACTAAAGGGTGTTATCACAGCTTCTCTATATCACTTCAAAGCAATGGCTCAGACATACATCATGCTTAATTACAATGTATTTTAATTTATTGTAAGAAATAATGATCAGAGCATGTAATGAGGTTCTGCGCAAGTTTCTCAGTAATTCCCCAGTGTCTTATATAATAATTTAAATTCCTTTAATAACTGAGCCTTGTTATCACAGCTAAGTTTATCCCTTAATAACCTTGTCTCATTGATTTACCATGGTTAATCAAAAATGTATATATTTAATTAAAAAATTAGTTATTAAGGCTATGCATTTAGTTTCTGCGCAGTCTCAAGAGATCCCTAGATGCCACTATAATTGAAATAATTTTACAAATAACAAATATATGTTATTACAGATTTAGAAAATTTAAGGAATAAAGAGTAGACAACTCATGAAAGTATCTGTAATAACACACGCAAGTTATTTTCTGTAATAACCCTATAGAGTTATATCTCTGACTGTAAAAGCAAATAATCAATTATGCTACATCCATTCTTATTTTGAAATGTAAAAGTTTCACTTTTTTTCCCAAAACGACCATTACATACTCATATACCAGATGATTTACACAAGTTTAAAATTTTACGACCAAACGAATTAGCCGGCTTTATGTCCTCTGTTGTTCTTTCACTTGGCAAATCAGGTTCATAATTAAGTAAATCAGTTTCATTGAGATTAAATATATTTAAATTGTCTTGCATTATGAAGTCATTTTCTCTACCTATTCTTCTGTTGAGGTCACCAATCACTGCAATGTTACCTAATACACTATAATGTTCTACTTGTTCCTGCAAAACGTCAAAGACATCCAAGTCATATTTTTTATAAAAAACATTATTATCAGGAGGTATATATATAGCACATAAATATAAATCTTTACTATCAAACATAATAACATTGCTTATTTTTAACCATATCATACTATTGGCACAACAATTCAATACTTCAATATACGGATTTAACCACTTTCTATAGAAAACAATTACTCCTCCTCCGTTGCACTTGTCCCTATAAACAAACTTCTTATCATAACCATTTAATTCAAATTCCGTCTGGCATTTGACCCAGCACTCATTAAAGCATACAATATCACAATTCGTTATTTCCTGTAAAAATTCTTTGTCTTTTAATTTCCGCAACAGACCTTTAGAGATATTCCATGAGCACTCATTTAATGAACATTTATTACACTTATCACTTTCAACAGTAGTACAGCCATTCCCCGCAAACTCCTATTCCTGCCACAACTTTCTTTCAACGAACAATTTATCTCCTACAAAATATGCCTCTGTATTTTCTTTCCTTTTTTTCCTTCATCACCGGGATCAATTTTTTTCGTTTTAATAACACCTCTGTCGGGTACTGAGGACTAATTCCAAAACTTGTTTGTTTTAAGCGACCCGAAGCTTTTCGTACCGTTTCTCGATCATCGAAAACAGCAAATTTTACCACTATTGGTCTCGGTTTTTCGGCATTCATCTTTTTCCTACCAAGTCTATAGGCTTTTTCGAGTTTTATGCACGTTTTAGCGTCTTTGATATTCAACCTTTGCTCAAGAAAATCTGTAATAATGTTGATGCAGTTTTCCAGAACTTTTTTTTCCGCCGCATTCGCCTCCTCAGAATCACCCTGTGCCCTGTTTATTCCAAAGATTGCAAAGAACAGTAGATTATTGCTAAAGTTTTGTTTTTCAACGTCGACGAGTCTATTTTTCACATTTAAGTTTACTGTTTTGGAAGTTTCTATGCTTTCAGTCACCTTTTCAAGTTTCTTTTTAATAGATTGGTGTTCATCCTTAATATCGGACATAAATTGGGCACTATGTTCAAGCGTGCTTATTCTGTCTTTGCAGGATTTAATATCATATCAACATCAACAGCACTAAATTTCAAATCGTATTTGTTTAATCGCTCTTCAATAGAGTCTAGCTTGTTGAGTTTAGTTTCGATCGAATCAACATTTTTACACAATTCATTTAATATCATCTCAATTCCGTTTGTTGCTAGATGAGGCGGCAGGGGTGGGGGTGGCGGTGGTGGACTCGGGTATTGTTGAAACTGATAGGGCTGGCCATATAACTGGAAATTTGGTGTACTTAATTGAATGGGTGTTTACTGACTAAACCCTTGATTAATTGAATTGTTCATGTTTGTATTTTGATCGTTATGAATAGTAGGTGAGTTGTTGTAAAGACAAGAGAATGCCTCACTTAGTGTATCTGTTAAAAATACCTTGTTTTTGTCACCCTTTATGTCACCTGAACACTTTTTCTTGCCTTTTGTAAACAAAGAACTGTCACTTGTCGAGCCTTCAGATGAAGTATTTCCTTTAGTACGATTTTGCCTCTTTCGTTTTTTGTCTTTTTTGTCTGTCTTATTTGGCATCACTAATCACAAATTTAAATCCAGTTAAAAGTAACTAATGCTGCATATTCACAAATTTTACGCATTTTTATATCATAATTCAAGAGCGAAATTTTTCACTGCCATTCAAACTGGTGCATGCGTATGATTAAAGTGACATACTAAAAACGTAAACAGGTTTCCTGTAGTGTTTTATTGTTTAATTGAATATTTTGACGAAATGAATCATGAATGAAAAATTGTCATGAGGCGAAAGATACTAAATCTTCAATGAGTTTACTCATACCAAGCTATAAACTTCATGTAGTATTTACATCAACGCTAGTTATAAAAGAACAATTATACCAAATTTGGCTTTGTAAATACCAATCAACTAATAACAGTAATCATACATAATTAGCATTTATAAATAGTCGTCAAATCACAATAATAAAATTAAAAAAATTCTAGACTTTTTAAAGAAAATTTAAATATTTTGATAAAAACATCTAAAAAATATCTAATAATTCAACCAGTATTTGAATAAAATTAGGGGGTGAATGTGTGGGGTGTGAAGGTGTAGGGTGCGAAGGTGTATTGAGAGCCAATGGACCTGATACCAATACCTACAACGGATAAAAATGATATCTGTTTCATTAAGTTGTTTATAAGTAAACAGTATATCAAATTTGGAACATTCTACAGAATTCTTTTTAAGGTTCATCAGGAGGAATTAAAAAAAAAAATGTGTTAACGCCACAAAATCATGAAAATTACAGGCATACAAATGTACCTGTAAGCATTTTAAGGCATGACAGGAACTAGATATTTAAAATTTAAATGTATTTATTTTATGTTTCAGAAAATTATAAACTTATGTTGATTTTGAGATTCCTCTTTTTTTCCATTCCCACTGAAGGTGCCAAAATAAAAAACACCTGAATATCATATGATAGGATCCACTCATTTAAACAGTTTTAATCCCCAAATGTTGTGTAGATATCTTTTGTCCATGTCAATCAAAACAACTCACTAAAAATAATATTATTATGTAGGGGAACATCTCAAACTTTTTCCAGCATATTTTATTTTGGCACCTGAGTGAATCTCAAAATCCAGAAAAGTTTATGATTTTCTGAAAACAAAAAATATATATGGGTAAAGCCAAAAAGGTGCTCCAAATTGGTCAAATAACCATCTGAAGCTTAAATCCCAATTTTAAAATATTTAATATATGTTATTTGATTACAACTTGTTATTGAGCATCAGTGACATGATGAAGTAGAAGATTTGATAAATATCAAATATCCGCTAATTCAATGTGTCTTGTTATTGAAGTTTGTCAAACGTAGATCTGTACGTTCCTGTGTCCCAAGCGTGACATGGAAATCCCCTTCTAACAAAAAATATACCTGGTTGTTTTTATGGGCAAAAGAAAAACGGAAAGTAAGTTAAATCGTCAGAAAAGTGTTGTTGCACTATAAATCCGTCAAAGTTTTGCGTGAACTGCAGTAAAATTAATCAAAGAAACGATTATTTCGACAGGGTTAGTAATGTTATATTGACAATAGACTACTATGGTAAAAATAACGCACGGGGTTTTCCGCGATATCGTCATCTGCGGAACATTTGATTGGTTCCTGTCATATTCATGCGCCGTCGTATCTCGGCTGTTTCAAATAGTTCTAATTTTGGTTTCGTATTCCGTTTTATGAGAAGCATAGAATGGCAAGTTTGTAATGTCAAAATAACGTATAACGTACGTAAAATGTTAATTCCTTATTATTAACGGAAAGAGTTTATCCAGGGAGAAAAAAATACTTTGTTTCATTTCAAAATTGCTATATATACGAAACTAAATGTAAGCATCACTATCATTCATGGATGAAAATGGAAGAAGAACTCGATGGTAAGTTTTTAGCAAAATGTCAAACTAATAACGACCAAGGCGTCAAACAAAGTATAACGACCAAACCATTCTGTCAAATTGACACTGTTTTATTTAATTTTTGCCAAAATAATATGCTTAGAATGATAAGAACTAACGAATATAACGCATTCAAGCACCCAAGTCAAACCATTCGTTCACTTTTTACGGTAACATCGATATGACCGTTACTTGACCAATTTTGTCAACCCAGTCAATATAACACCTAGGATGTAGATGATCTTTGTAGAGATATACTGCACCATTCTTTTCATTTAACTTCTATTTCAACTTACAGATAATAAAGGGGGAAAGTTAATATACATTTAAAAAGGGTGAAGTAATTTTCAGTGCTTTTTCACAGGGTGTTAGTTGACAATTATATGCATAGTCAATATAACCAGGGTCATTAAGAGAGTTAGTTGACACCTTAATGTAAGGGTCAATATAACTCCTACTCCCTCAGTAGTCCTAAAGCTACTATTACTACTGAAATATGTTGACTTTGGCTTTTAGCCTACAAATCTCTTGTACAATAAAAAAATCAAGCCTTTTAATGAAATTGTAAGCATATTTCCTGCTTCTTTGAAATAGAGCATACGTTGACAACTAAAGGTTTCAAGTCAATATAACCATGGTCCAAAAGAGAGTTAGTTGACACATTAATTTTATAGATGTAAATACAGCCTTTTATCAAAAGAACATCAACAAAAAACAAGAAAACAGAAAATTGTCACAAGACTATAACATGCAAGTTTCTGTCTTGAGACGGTGCAACAAGTTTGTTTTTAAGCACTCAACCTCCCCATACCCTTGAATTTGACAATAAAAACATGAATGTAGACACAATGCAAATCAATGTGAAGTGGATACTTATTTCCAATGCTGTTTTCAACATTGGATAACATACAACATCATAAACATAAGAAGATGTGGTATTATTGCCAAAGAAACAACTCTCCACCTAAGACCTAAAGAAGTAAAAAAAAACAATAATAGCCTATAAGGTCACGTTATGGCCTTCAACATGGAGCCTTGACTCACATTTTCATTCATTTCAATTTAAAATCATGTATAAAACTATTTTAACTTTATTTATTTGCTTTTCAGATCTTTGAGATAAATCAACTGAGTATGAACAGTGGAATAGACAGCAGAATGAACTTTAAAATGTTTTTAATTTGTTTAAATAAATGATTTATGGTTTGATTCTTGAATAGTGGTTTAATTATTAGTATTGTCATACATTAATCATGTTAATGTGTTTTATACTTTAGTTTCAAAAGTGTTGATTTAATAAGCTCTTGAAAAAAAATTGTTGAAAACAGTTGATCAATAAAGTCACCATCTGACATAGCCAAGAGTATCATAACTGTACATATTAAATGAGCAACCTTTGACCAAAGTACAAAGTCAGTTCAAGTGAGCCTAATTAACAATACTCCTAAATACCAACAGTAAACAATATGTTCCCCTAAATACTGTGAGTAACTCATTAAGTGTCTGTTTACCATCAGGCTAAGCTAACTCTTGCAGTGCACCGGATAGTTTTATTGGGTTAAAAGTATGTCGGTTAAAAGCTCATTAGAGCTTATGTTGTCTCTGTTTGTATACCTTGCCGACTCTAAAATAAAGCTTATTTATTGGGTTTGAGTTGTTATTTAAGGTTTGTTCTTTTCTTGTTATTTATCTTGATTTCTCCTCTCCCTTTTGGATTTGTGAATTAGTGCACCTTTATTTTTCTTGCATTCTATAGTTGTCACTTTGATCTGATAGATCTCAGATAGTTTTGGTTATGAGCTTGTGACTTCATTATTAGCTGAACAATAATGAACATGAACCCCTGCATGCAAACAAGAATTAAGTTTATATCAAAATAAACATAATGGATCAAACTCTTTGTGTTCAGATGTTACACCAGATTTCCTGTTTTATTTCAGTAAGTTACTTGACATTGTGTCAATATAACAACCAAAAGACGGTAGTGTTGTGAGCAATATAAGCATTCAATCATAATTTGGTAAAATGAAAAATAACCATCAGTTACCTAGACAATAGTAGAAAAAAAATCTTTAATAAAAATGATTTTGAAAAAGGTTAAATTTAAACACTATTCGTCAATATAACCTACATGTAAGATATGGTATACAAGATTTATAGTCATCTTCTTCATTTAGAAGATTAAGCTGTATTGGATAACTTTTCCCCTACTTAAAAAATCAGCTAGTGTTGCCCCCCCTGTTTTTTGAGTGGCCTGTTTTAAAATTAAGGCAGAAAAACTATCAAAAAGGGTTATTGTCAAAATAACATACATTGAATTTGGATTTAATTATGTCAACGAAGATCTTGGTTTACAACAACTACATAAAATATTTCATTTGAAATATAATAATTATGTTTACAAATATAATTGCTGTTCAAAAAACGTTTTACACAAGTTACTAGAAGAAAACTTTATTTTGGACATCTATAACATACTGATCTTGCTCAGAGCACTGACATTTCAGAACATCAGGGATAAATCTGTGAATTGGTCTATGATATAATGATGTTGAAAGATATTATGTGCAGCTAAGTATTGATACATTTCATTAATCCCATAAGAAACTATTTAAAACAAAAGATGCGCTATTGTCAATATAACTTACACAAAATATACAAGGAAGGTCAATTTTACAAAAACATAGCAAGACCAGGGATTTCAAATAAAAAGAGGTAGTAAGATACAGATGGTTGCTAACAAAATAATGTGAATTGATAGAGATATCAAAAACTTCAATTTTATATCCTAATGTCACACTTTCCAGACCACCTTTATGGCTTTACCCATATATGTATTTAAACTTTGATTATCTAGTCACTGTCAAGCCTTGAAAAATTACCAGTTGCACAGGTATGTGACAGGTTTGTCTGTTCTCAGAGAAAATTATGTTGTGTAAACATGGCCACATTTTTCAATTCTTTTTATAAACCTTTCATTCAACATGTTCAATGTGAATCATTTCCGATATAAAGCCCAAGAAAGAAATAAATGATTTTGGACATATTGTTTTACCAATGTCTGTAGATGTCTCGCATAGGGTACATGATTTATCCAGCTAACTCATGGCTCCTCCGTCAGTTTTCAAGCTAGATCCTTATACATGTACATGTAATATGTCACAGGTGTTACCTGATGAGCTCCTGAAGGTTTGATAATATTTATTGTTGCATGTTTTTTTTTTATTTGTCCTCATACCTTTGGTAATCAGATATGAAAACTTGTAGGAAATCATATGTCCCTCAGATACAAATTTGCCAAAAACTATATGCTCTTTTATGATGTTGTATTTAGGAAAAATCCTTAAAAGGAAGGTCTTTCACTACATTAGCAGTGTGACCCAAATCAATTCTTCTACCATTTATACAGAATGTTAAGGTACACATACCTGCATACCATGTATACTAAACATGCTGAAGGTGTGAACATTACCACAATTTCGATTTCCTTAACATTTTTCACAGATGGCAAGATAAAGTTGTCATTTTTGTGAAATTATTCATGCTGAGCACTTGTTCACTTCACAGAATTTTTAATTATTACATGTATATCTTATTCATTTGAACAATGAAATTGCAAGCTCTACGAATATGCAGCTATGCATAAAAGTTGTTTGTCATTATTATTTTTAATGGTACATGTATGACATGCAGAACAATAGATCTTATATTTTTTAATTTATACATTTCAGTTTGGAGTATTTTCCTTTTTGCTTCTTTAGTGGATATCACTGTTGCCTTAGAGAATGATGGTTATATTGAGAAATACATGCATTTCTACCTCCTGCAGGGAGAACCTTATCTGAAAACTCCCTTTGGAACTATGATCAACTACTGGGATGGTGTAATACACTTTGCTTTGGTTTTATTTGTCTTGTCAAGGAAAAGTTATGAGTAAGTCAGTCAAAGCTTGGTCAAAATGACACTTTACCATGTCTGCATCAAAATGAAATTAAAACTCAGTTGAGTAAGAGTAATGTATTTTTTAAGTTTTTTTCAGCAATATCTTGGGATATATTCTTTGAATAGAAGGAGCTTATACTCTCTATATGAAAATGTATATACATTGTACATATACATGTATGGCATTCAATTCATTACAATATTCAATATATCTGATATATTCAAGCAAAGGAACAAACTTCAGGGTGATTCAGAGCTTGACATGTGAAAAAGACAATTAACTGTGGTCTAAGACAATTTGTTGGCTTGTAGATGTTTTGTGTTGCTGTGTTGCTGCATGTCTCTTTGACATACCTACTTCTCAACTTCTCCCTAATTCATCATGGTCATTGTGATTAATGTCACTGACTCATATGAAATCAATATGCAATAAGAGTCATTACAGTATTAAAATAGTAGAATCTTATTCACAAGAGAGGTACATGTAGCTTAAGTCAGGTACCACTGTACTCCATATATGTTGTGTTTGCATGAATAATACATTTCTTATCACATATCTAACCTTTGATGTGGATGTCCTTCTCAATATCATAGATTCTATCTGCTTATAACATTTTTTTTCCTATTATGACTACATGCATGACATGTACATGTACTTGTACCTGCATGTCTAATAATTCACTGTTATCTTTAATTACTCATCATGGCCATATATTTCCAATCATCATGTAAGTTTCCTCTACTGACTACTGTTGATTTGAAAATTATTTTATATAGTTAAGATAGGGTTTCTCTAGTTACTGTGGTCTTTCCTCTTTTCCATTGTTCAAAATTTCCACGCTTTGTATTTTTTCATAAAAGTTGTCTATCAAATTTTTTTTATTAGAATTTGATAAAATGTGAACAATAAGTACACATGTACATGTATGCAACTGCATTTTAGTTTTGAAGTTGTATTACCAACTGAAAAGAAACAACAACCTTCAAATTTTGAAACAACAGCATGCACCTCTGTGCATATGCATTAGAATTGACCTCAGTTGTTTCTATGTTTACATGCTGAAAATAATAATTTATGCATGAAAATTAGTGTAAACAGTTTTATATGTAAGTTAAAGGTACAGAATATGTACATTTTTACTTCTGGTTGTTCAAGGAACAGATTTGGTTTAATGAAAAACTCCTTTTCTTCTGTGATCTTCATGATCTTGGCCAATATGGTTTGTACCCTCACAGTATGTTTAGTTTTCACATATTGTGCATAAAAAGAATATTTTTGTGTCTGAGTGGAATTATATATGAGCTTAAACATCTCTATTCCAACCTGACCTTATTTTTTTGTAGCATGGAGTATTCTTTTGTTTTCCTCCATGGTTGATGTAGTTATTGCCCTTGAGAATGATGGTTTTCTAGGTAGATATCTACATTTTTACCTGTTGCAAGGGGAACCTTACCTGAAAACTCCACATGGGACCTCTATTTGTTATTGGGATGGTTCAGTACATTTTGCATTGTACATGTTTATCATGTCAAGAAGTAATTATAAGTAAGTATATATATTAAAGTGTACAACATACAAAACCAGATGTACCTTTTACATGTTTTATGAGAGAAATTATTTCAGTTCTGAAATTGTTTCATGAAAAGCTTTATATCCTTTATAATTGATATAAATCTTTGTTGATCTACTTTTTACCTCATTATTACAGATTAAACTGGGTTTGGGAAACCCCTTCCCAATTTTATTTTCAGGGTTTTTTGCCTTTTTGAGGGTCAATTGGTTGCAAATGCTTTGACAAATATTAGATTTGTGTTACAAGTTTTTCAACAATATAGGTTGGGAAAAAAATTTCCCCTCTCCCTTCCTAAAGACCAGTTGTGAATGGGGACTGCCCTGTCCTTTAATTTTCTGTATGTGATTCAAAATTGGTTTTATTGGTTAAAATACCTTAAACAAAACCAGTTTATATAGGTTATATATATGTATTGAAAACACCTATTGAAACTTTTCTGAATGAATTTTTAAAAAGTGTTTTCTGCATTATTAAGGTCTTTTTAAGTTTCTGCTGCCAAAAGCACCATGCTCCTTTCAAAATCTGACAGAAAAACTAGTCAGTATTCTGAATAATTATCAGGTTTATTATACAGGTTTCTTGGACCCTTTAGTCATGTTAGTTATTTTGATTCTGAATACATTGTTGACAAACAAAAACAGGATTTTTTTATTACCAAATACATTGTACCGGTAATCAGGAAAAATACAGTAATAAAACTTCTTTTAAGTAGAAATTTTGCATGCTTGTAAATTTAGTTGTGTGATAGAAAATGTAACATATGGAAAGGGCATTTATGTGCATGAAAAACGTGAAATTCAATTACGATTTTACAATGAACAGGAATTGTTTTAATTTTGGGTTTATGACTGTGTGCATGAAAAAAAGCCAAATAAATGTGTTACAGCATGAAAACACATGGATTTAAACTGGCAATCATGTTAAGTGAAAATAACCCCTTTAACAACCTTGTTGAAATGTCTTGGTAGCAAAATTGCTTGAATAGAACAATGCAACACAAACATTCATACATTTCCTAACTAATAATATTTTACAGTTTTTAATTTGGATTTGTTTAATTTTTTTGTTATCAAATTTATAATTCTTTGTGTTCATGATATATGTGAAAAATTTCATTAATTTTGTTTGCTGACATTTTATATTTGTGTGTTTTTACATCTATTATTGATTCAACAAAATTGTGAGAGTGTAAAGTATTGGTCACAGAAGAAGTTTATTGAAATTGACATGAAATGTACAATTACACTAAAAAAGGGTGAAACTAGGAAAGTGTAGCAGCAATCCTCAAAAAGAAGCGTTTCTAACCTATACATGTATTTTCCATGCATGTCAAGTTTAAATTGAACATCATTTCTCAGATACTAAGCATGCTGAGTGACCTACATTTTAAGCCTTTTCACACTGAAGTTAAATTTCACTTTTATAATTATTTCAAGTATCATACTGTAAATTCAGAATTTTTGCAATGTTTTTATTATTGGTAAAATTACAACAACACAAGCTCTCGTTTTAATTCCAATGACATAATTTGATTGCAGCATTACCTGAAATTGCGATAATATAGATTGGCGTTCGTGTAGATTGTCCAACAATCGCAATAATTTCTGATTTTACAGTATTAGGTTTATCAAGCCAGTATGAGAATACACCTTATCGCTATTTAGTCCAATCCGGAAAAAAAAGTCACTTAGACAACTTCCTGTTTGTGTCTTCCGGCGCCAAAACAAAGGTCATCAGTAACGAGCTGAGGGAAGAAAAATTTAGAAAGCAAACACTTTGAAACTTTGATTATGATCCACTTTTTTTGAAACTCAAATTAAAGTAAAAAAAATATTTTGTTTGAAGTGTTTACAATGGTTTAAACAGGTCTCTTTAAAAAGTATTATGCATGATACATTGTTTAAACAGGGCCCAAGATGATGATAGCAATAAGGTGTATGAAGCAGCTTTAATTTGATAGATTGCTGGTAATTCTGTTGTTATATTGTTGTCTCAATCAAACATGACAAATTGATTCTATATCATACATTTACATTGGCAATGGACTTTCTTCTCAATAATTCTGTAAATTTTTGTACCACTGCGAGAATGACTAGACTAAACAAAGCTATAGAGTTGATTTTAATTTCAGTGAGGAATATAGACTGGCTTGTTTGTTCTGGTGTGGTTCTATCATAAACAGTGTAGCAGTGCTGGTACCGGGAGGAGCAATAGGTAATTTAATAAAAACTAAATTTATATTGAAAAATAAAATGCAATTGCACAAAATAAAATGTCTACACATATTTAAACAATTAAATTTATGTTTTAACTCCTACATCTAAAGGCACAAGTTACTTAATGGTTAGGTTACTGGCCAGTCATGTCAGTGTTACCATTTTGTTATTAAGGAAGTTCTTTCTTCCAAAAATATTTAATGCAGTAATACACAATGCCCTTCATATTACATCTGCTTATTTTCCTTCATAAATAACATGTTCTTGCTCAAATCTGCACAATCTTATATCGAAAGCTGTTTATATGTGCCATCCTTTTTGTCATTTTGTTATTTTGTCATTTCATATATTCATTTACTTTATGCTTGATTTGAAAACATATTTGTATAGATGGACTCCCATAATTTTCTGAATTATATTCTTTTTTTTTTATATTTTTGCAGGGAAATTTGGTCCAAAATGGTCTATTCTTCTAAATGTGCCATATGTAGTTATACCATTATACATCCTCTTCAAAGTATTGAGTTCACATTCGGTAAGTTTAGTGTGTTAATAAAAATTCTATGGAAAATTGTACTCTAATAAATTTTACAGCTACATTTCTTGTCAGATTTTTATGAGACTTTAATCAAAGGTGTATATCAGCAATGTCTTGGACGAGGTTTGATAATCTTGATAATATTTTACAGGATTTTCGCACCTTGGAAATATAAAAAGTTATGGAAAATCACATTGTAGCTATTTCATGCTTACATTTTTTGTGGGATATTTATGGAAAAAGAAGGTAAATAAATTTTAAAAAAATATATTGGGAGTTATTGCTCTTGGACAGATAAAATATGTACATTGGTGGTGGACATTTGAAAGCTGTTCTGTTATTTTTAGGTAAATAAAGGCAACAGTAGTATACCCCTGTTCGAAACTCATAAATCGATAGAGATAAAAACAAATCTGGGTTACAAACTAAAACTGAGGGAAACGCATCAAATATAAGAGGAGAACAACGACACAACAAAAACACAACATTAAAATGTAACACACACAGAAACGAACTATAATATAACAATGGCCATTTTCCTGACTTGGTACAGGACATTTTAAGAAAAAAATGGTGGGTTGAACCTGGTTTTGTGGCATGCCAAACCTCCCGCTGTTATGGCAATGTAAAATATAACATTAAAATGACAACATTACATGACATGACTACAATACAAATAAATGGGAGAACATATAGGACAAAGAAACACACGAATAATAGCTAACAAAAGGTACTAGGTTTAGAATTTAATACGCCAGACGTGAGTCTCGTCCACACAAGACTGGGACAAGAACATCCTTATTATTTAGAATAATATATACTATTGCAAACAGTAAATTTTATAAAATGACTATATAATAGATATACATGATAAAACCGAAGTGGGGACTAACTACAGAATAAAAACGGATACATTACATAAAACAACTTAATCTAACACATAAAAATATACAGCCGAGTTAGCCAAAGCCTCAACGCACAAAGTGACGTCACATTTGAAATTCTAAAAAACACACAAAGTGACGTCACATTTGAATTTGTAAAAATATTTCCCAAAAATAAGATAGAATTAGGATTGATTCAAGATTAGATCTGTAATACTGACATTACATTTATTAATAACAATGAAAATTACAATACTATTAATATCAAATTGTGGTAGTAATTAGATAATTAATTGTATTATCTAGCTATGTCGGTGTTTCTTCTGAATCAAACTGTAAACCAAATATATCTTATAAATTTTGTTGAACCAAACTAAAATTTAATAAATGAAGGGGGTGATTAAGTATCTTTACCATAACACACGAATATAACAAAAAAGACGTTAAGACATTTGACAAAATCCGACGAGACTAACAAATATAACATCAAAATTAAATATATGAATTTGGGATTGAAAAGTACCGTGAAACGTCTTATAGCAATGCGGTTTCACACTCAGCAAAACAGTCACGTTCGGTAATTAAAAGATCAGACGACGTAATGACAAACCACAATCTAACACGTGGTAAAAATGTCCTTAGTTAGTTTGGACAAAGACACATCGTATGGTTGAATTGAATGTGAATTATATAATAAGAACTTGAATGAGATTTTTGTTGAACCTCTGAAATTTTGTTTAGGAAGAGAGTCATCACTATCAATCATTTTGGAGGCAGTAACATATAGGTAAAGTCTGACTGTTGTTTTAGATTTTTTTTAAATCAACAACATTGTCAACCCTTCATGAAAATGTATACTTGCACAAAGGCTTTTTTATAATAAAAAGACAGAGCAAAGTTTTGAAAATATTTTTTTTTTCATTTTTCTGTATTATACTGATAAATGGACAAGTGTTTTGCAGTTAACATTTAGATGCAGTCTGTGAATACATTTTGTAGATGTCAATAACTTTGTCAAACCTTCCGGGTATGTTATGAATCTTGGACAGAAGCCTCTCCAAGATCAAGACTCAACATATGAACAAAAATGTTTGATATTTTATAATTTTTTTCCATATTTTACTGATAAATTGACTTAGCTTTTGGCAGTCAATATTACACTTTTACTTGGGCAGCAGCTATAGAAATTTTTTCTTCAAAGCTGTAATGTATTTATATATCTATGTATATAAATTGTTTATGAAGAAAACACTATAAAAAGATGAATGATTGATTATACATTTCTGGGGGAATTAAATATATCATAAAACAGATAAATGTTTGTCCATGACAGTCAGCTCAAGTTTGGAAAAAAGGCAGGACAATGCAGCAAACAGTCTTAATATTCCAAGTTTTGAAATAATTTGCATTTATTTTTTAGGCAAGCAGGAGAAATGTGTTGACATTCATAGGGACCAGAATGAAAAAAGGACCAGTAGAAATGTTGTTTATTCTTTTCTTTGTGACTTGCATTGTAATTAATGCATTCAGAGCTGCTGTAAGTTATTGTAATTAATGCATTCAGAGCTGCTGTAAGTTATTGTAATTAATGCATTCAGAGCTGCTGTAAGTTATTGTAATTAATGCATTCATATTAGGAATTATGTTATTGAAACATTAAAAGAAAGTTTGTATATGAAATAAATGGGTTAACAGGTTACTGGAAGACAGAAAAAGGATGGAGAGAATGGGGGTGTGACAACAAAATGATATATTTGTCTGATTCCTTTAAATCTGTCCATTATGGGCTATATGCATGTTACATATTGTTTAGTAAGTTACAACAAGTATTTATATTGTAAGATCTTACTATATAAATCCTTGGTTACAATGTTTATATTAATGTATGCCTATGATTTATTGATGTTGAAAAACATCTTAATATGTGCTTGAGTTATACATGTTATATCTAGATCTCTTAACATGGAACTAGCATATTTTTAAGATTGTACTATGAAGAAGCGAGACAGCTAGTTTATATACAGACTAGTAATAACTACAATATTTGCAAAATATTTCAGCAAGAAGAATTCACTTTGATCATGACCACCAATAGATATATTTTATTAATTTGACTGTACATGAATTTTTGTTCAAGCTGCCTTTGGAGATAATTTTTCAGAGATAGGACTGTATAAAGATATATATGTCATTAAAAATTGAACTAAGCAATTCCTTACATCATTAAGTAACTCATGATTGATGGTTACTGATTGTCATACACTTAATATCTATCACATGAAAACCAGTATGTTAGTGACCCTCCTTTTCATTAGCATTGGAAGGATTTTAAGTCTGAGTCTGTTGTACATAACAAAAGTTTTGATTAACCTTTTGTTTGTAAACATTTTTGCAGATTTACTTTTGTTATGATATGAATATAGAAGAAAAATAAATGAATTTCTTACAATTTGTTGGTGTTTCAGAGAAACATAAAAATAAATGAATCCATGATAATTTTTTTTTTTGAATAGAATTATCAAAATCCATTCTGATTTATCTCCAGGTTACCTTAGGCTGTAAAGCAGAGATGGCAGAGAACTACCTCAAAGATTTTGAACCTTTCCTAGCTGAAGATACATCTTTTCCAAAGATGCAGGTAATAAAATTGATAATATTTGTACTGAAATTCAAGTTTCTTTTCATTAACTTTGATATTGTTTTCAGTATGAATTGGCATCCTTTTCAAATTTAAAGTGGCACCTTACCATTTCAGATCTATTCATTGATTATAACCCTTTGTAAGTATGAATAATATCATTTCATGTTATGACTTTCAGAACCCAGTTGTTCATCTCTCGGTTAAATTTTAACCAAGGGTTAAATATCATAACCCGAGGTTACTTTCTGTTGATCGTCCTGTGGTTAGATTTAATCCTTTGTTAAATCCTTGGTTAAATGATTCAGATTTAACCTTGCTTCGGCCCTCTGTTAAAATTTTAACCAAGGAATAGTGTTGTCTAAATTACTATTCCCTGTTTATAACTAGACTTGAAAGGTCACTAAATTTTGATACAACACCTTCCTCATTTTCGACAACCATTAGTAATAAAAAAACTGATTATTATGTTTTACAGTCCTTCCCCCTTTTTAGCAACGAGGTTTACGTTCAAAGTGTCTACCTAACAAACATTTTTAAATCAACAATTTTTTTTACCCTGTCATCTATGTCAATAAACAAATTAAATCAACAAAATTAAACATCTTTTAGAATCTATAAATAAAAACATTTTACAATCAACGCTCCTTTTTGTCGAGCCTTCGACTTTAGTCGAAAAAGCGAGACATAGCGATCCTACATTCCGTCGTCGTCGGCGGCGTCCACAAATATTCACTCTGTGGTTAAAGTTTTTGAAATTTTAATAACTTTCTTAAAACTATCCTTGATTTGTACCAAACTTGGACAGAAGCTTGTTTATGATCATAAGATAGTATCCAGAAGTAAATTTTGTAAAAAAATAAATCCATTTTTTCCTTATTTTACTTTTAAATGGACTTAAGATTTTCTGCCAGGAAACAACACATTCACTCTGTGGTTAAAGTTTTTAAAATTTTAATAACTTTCTTAAACTATTTTGGATTTGTACCAAACTTGGACAGAAGCTTGTTTATGATCAAAAGCTAGTATCTAGAAGGAAATTTTGTATAAAAAATCAATCCATTTTTTCCATTTTTTACTTTTAAATGGACTTAGATTTTCTGCCAGGAAACAACACATTCACTCTGTGGTTAAAGTTTTTAAAATTTTAATAACTTTCTTTTACTATTTTGGATTTGTACCAAACTTTGACAGAAGCTTGTTTATGATCAAATGCTAGTATCTAGAAGGAAATTTTGTTTTCTTCCAGTTAACATTACATTCAGTCTGCAGTTAAAGTTTTTAAACATTTATTAGATTCATAAACTATCCTGGATTTTTACCAAACTTGGACAGAAGCTTCTTACAATCAAAAGATAGTATCAAGAGGAATATTTTTATTGATTTACTTCCTCATTTTTGTTGAGCCTGCGATTAACAGAAAAAGTAGGCGAGACACTGGGTTCCGCGGGAACCCTTACGAATTTTTTAAATAAAAAGGTGCTATCTGTCACGTCCGCGTTGTTGTTTTACTATGTAATGAATTTAGACGTAAAAAAACGTATTGTTTTTAATAAGGAACTGTATTTATTAACCAAAATATTTTTCTAGGACCAGAGAAAAGTGTTGATAATTCTATATTTTGATAAAAATGAACATTCACTGAAAATTTAACAATGGGTTAAGTAACCAAGGTTTAAAAAGAAGTTGAACAACCTAATTTTAACCCTTGGTTACGTAACCCTCAGTTAAAAGATTTAACCCAGCTGGGTTATATTTAACCAAGAGATGAACAACTGGTACCAGGGGGTATAAGGGAATATGGGGTCCTTAAAATAAATAGATTTTGGTGTCGCTGATACTCATTTTTTTTGTCCAGATGACTATTTGGTGTCTGTGTTGTATTGGAAAATGTTTTAAAGGAAATATTTGTATAGTGATTATTCTGCCAAAACACCAATAAGTAAATGAGTAAATAGTCTAGATAAAAGATATATTGAAAAGAGACTTTTAATAATAACTTTAAAACACAGTTTTTGTTTGCATTTTAAAAGATATTCATCAGAAATCATGGGCATCATACACTGATTGAAATTATAAGTCTGTTCTGGCACAAAACTTGTACTGCTAAGCAATGGTTGGCATGTACTCATGTCATGTTAGTTTGGTATCCTTTAATGTAGATGCTCAATGAAATGCAAATTTTCTTAATAGACAGGTTATACATTCATTAAACATGAGAAAGACAAACTACAATCATGAATGTTTTTTTTTTATGCCCCACCTACGATAGTAGTAGGGGCATTATGTTTTCTGGTCTGTTCGTCCGTCCGTCCGTCTGTCCCGCTTCAGGTTAAAGTTTTTGATGAAGTTGTAGTCCAATCAACTTAAAACTTGAGTTTTGACCCCAATTTCATGGTCCACTGAACATAGAAAATGTGGGGCAGCCATGTACTATGGACACATTCTTGTTAAATTTTCATTAATTCTTATTTTCTATTGTTTTAAAATCATATTTTTATATATATTATATGTCATAAGTATAAGAGTTAAATGTACATGATCAATGTAGCAGTTGTATTTGTATTACTTCCCCAATTTATTTCCTGAAAGTCAAGGAAATAAAGATAAGTATATCTGCTTTCTATATATATCTGGGTTTTTTACACTCCTTAAAAAGCATGTTATATAAGGGCTTTTCAGAATTGTACACTAGACCTATGTGATATATTAATTTCTTTAGAAAGTAATGAATAGATATAGGAGTGAATTTGATTGTCATTTTCCTTTACGATAAGCCTTCCATGAACCAATAAGGACCTGTAATAAAAATAGTTCAGGAAGTACTTGAATGAGACAAAAGAATTGACATTTAACCAAAGTTTAAGTTGAACATAGTTTTGTCTGTCCCAATAAAAGTGCATGTTTTTTATATCAATCTGTCACATAAAATTAAATTTGAATGAACACTAAGGGAAATGACATAATGAATGCCTTTGAGGGCATGGAAACATATTATTTTTGTTATAAATTACTTCCATGTATTTTGTATGAATTAAAGTAGATATTAGGCATTCATCAATGAGACAGCGCACAACAACACAAAAACAACTGGAACAACTTCTAGAAAACACAAGCACTGACATGGTTCATGACTTACAGACATGAAAATGTGGCATGTAGATTTAGTATTTTTTAAATCTCAGTCCTCCCACGTTTAAACTTGATCTGTGGAATTAGGAAAAGGTACATAAAAAATTGTACAATTAAAATCAGTACAAGATAAGCACTTTATTCTATGATATTGGTGTAACAAACACAAGATCAAAACATTAACAAACAATTCTATAACAAAGAATGTTACATTTCCTGAAAGTAAGTTATAGTACTTAACCTGCTGATGTGAATCTTTGCCATCCTACACTATGTAGTAGACATAGAATGATAGAAATAAAAGTTTTAGTTTTATACTAGGTCAATACATTGCTCTGGTTAACAGCCATAATTTGAGATTTTGGTCAACACTTACATGCATTAATATTCATACCCATATCCGTGTATGGTTATACCTCTGAGAATGCCACATTTAAATATGGTCTATGTGACTGCAATTTTTTTTGCCAAATACTATCATGTTTTCTATTACATATTTAGCTGTTTTCATACATTTGTCAGTTTTTGCAACAAATTAAATTCCCTCTGACAAAACTACTGTATATAGATCTTTCAAATTTTGACTTAACAGCAGTATATAGGTATGGGGGAGTCCATCTGAACCTCAAGTTTTTATAAAGCTTCTTTTATTGAATTTATTTTGTTGAGAAAGAGAAGAAAATAATAGTCTTTCGAACAAAAAGACTATTTTCACATTGACAGCACATTGTACATGAATGAGATATAATCACATTCACACCATAAAGCCATTAAATGTAATTGAATATTCTGCACTTTTCATGCTTTACCATGAAATAATGTAAAAATGCAGAAAGACCCTCCTCCTAAATGATTGAAATCTATCATGATTTAGATGGATGATGCCATAAATAAATTACGAGTGATGAAATGAAGTTTGGTATATTTTTTCAGATGTTGGTATACCTTTTTTACTTCTTGCCTTATTATGTGTATGCCATCTATAGACTTTTGTATCCAGCACCAAGTAATGGTTTGATGAAAGATTTGGCTGTATTTCATGCTGGGGCTGCTGCGCAGGTGAGATAAGATATTTGTATCATGTCCTCAATAGGCCCATATTTAATTCAATAAATATATTCTAGTATGTCTATGTTTATTTTGGAGATCAAAGTAGACTGTCAAATGATTGGTATTTCCACTGTGACTAACTTTGACCTTCTTATCACAGATTCACTCCAATGAATTACAATTTATGGAGGAACTTTACTTTACGAATATGCAATGAAACATTATTGGATAAAAAATTTCAACATCCTTTATGACAAACAGGACAGCTTTTAAGTTCCTATTGTTTATTTCCTTTTTTTGATGGTAATGATTGGTCAGCTCCTTCATATTAAGCATTCCTTTTTTGGTCATATATGGATATGTTTGCAATAATGCACCAGATTTCAATGAGCATTATATTTCATTACTTAAAAAACTTAAAGCAGGGATGTATTTATGTTATAAATTTTGAGGACACTTTCACTTGATTTTATCACATATATAGTGATTTATGTTTCCACTTACAAAGATTTAAATAAAAAGTGGTTTTGCAGCCCTACCTTTTATATGGTATTATGATTAATGAAATAAATAAGAATGGGAATTGCCCTTCAGCTGTTTCTTTTTTCTTGAAATACTTATTTTAAAAGGTATAATTAAACTGGTGCAAAAAAGTTTCTTCAAATTTCTTTGCTGTTATGAAATTCTACACATAAATTGGCTTTGGGCATTGCATATGATCCACTTTTCCTGTACTGTTTCTGAAATTTCTTTTAAAAAATCTACTGGGAAGTAATGCAACTGATATAAGAGTGTAAGAAGTCACAATTTCACAATCAATTGATTAAGTACTTTGATAATTTTTTACAAGGTATCTTGCCTGTTTGGATCTGTAAAAGGGAGAAAGTTGAGTATTAAAACATTAGTTTCACATGTAAATATTTTTGGCCAAGTGAGTGGTTGTTAGAATATGATGTTGATGGCATATTTTTTATAGTCTCTGTTATCTTAATTTGTTTACACCAACTAAGGAGGTTATTAAGGGCTTGACATATGTTATAGACACATGTTTAATGATGAAGACCATATGTTGTCCTGTAGATATCTTTTGTAATTTTGGTTACTCAGTTGGTACTAAGGACTTGAACGCCACATTTTCTTTTACTGTAAATTCCAAAAAATTAATATGTTCATTTACTATTGCAAATCCTTGACCTCTGGCAAAAATGCAAAATCTAATTAATGTGATTTCAAATGTTTAGAAGGAAAATCACTACTGAAATTATGAACACAAGTTTTTCTTTTTGCAAACCTGATGCTTTCGCATTCTTATAAGAACATCACATTGATTTCTAAAGTTACAGTATTTGTATTTCAAAAAGGTAAACAATTCTAACTTGCCTGCTAGCCAAATGATATCAGGAAAGAAATGAACAAAAAGCTAATGACTAATAATATGTTCAAAAGATTTTATCAGCACCTATAATTTAAACATAATCTTAATGATTGAATGTTTATTGATGTTTGTGCAACACAGTCCAGACAGATAAATAAAATTTACATAAATTAATGGAGAGAAAAAAATGTATTTGATAAATTTGATTTATTTGAATACTTAAAAGTTATTTTCCCATTATATAAAATGTTGGTAGAAAAAGTTTACATATAGTTTGAAGTGAGACTAGTTAATGAAGAAATTTTGACCATTGGTGTATTTTTATTTTTTTATTATGCATAATTAGTAAGTCCATAGCATAAAATTAAAAAACAATGTTAAAGGAGAAATATAAATAACCATGAAAACTTCCACAGTTTATCTTGCTGTGTTCTAGGAATTACTCTACATATTTAATATATGTTCCATTTGAATTATTATTTGTCCTGAATCTTTGATATTTTTTATAAGAAATGCTGACAACACTTGCAGATGTAAAAGTTCGAGCGTCACTGATGAGTCTTTTGTAGACAAAACGTGCGTCTGCGGTACTTCATTTCAATCCTGGTATCTATGATGAGTTTATGAAAATTTGTTTTTTTCTAGGCCCAATTTGTGTACCTGACAACAGCACAACATAGTAGGACAGCAGCCAATTATCGTATCCCATCTACACCAGCAGCCCAGTATTGTTTCTGGATTATCAACATTGCTTTACTTGTTATACCACAACTGTTTGCCTACAGGTGTATAACAGGACCTACAAAAACAGAGAAAATTTCAAATGAACCAGTCAAGGAAGATAACTCTTCAAGTCATCCATCATACAATCTTAGAAAGAGAAAACAGTGAAAACAAATGGCTTAAATCATATATTGTAGTTTTAACCAGGTTTTTTTAGTGTAAAATTAAACCATATTTTTTACCAGCTTTTGTTATCTTTTTTATCTTTGCATAACAAGTGTTTTGACTTTGAATTTTTGTCGAGCCTTCGACTTTTGTCGAAAAAGCGAGACATAGCGATCCTATATTCACTCTGTGGTTAAAGTTTTTGAAATTTTAATAACTTTCTTAAACTAACCTGGATTTCTACCAAACTTGGACAGAAGCTTGTTTATGATCATAAGATAATATCCAGAAGTAAATTTTGTAAAAAAAAATTCTATTTTTTCCGTATTTTATTTATAAATGGACTTAGTTTTTCTGCCAGGAAACATTACATTCACTCTGTGGTTAAAGTTTTTGAAATTTTAATAACTTTCTTAAACTATCCTGGATTTCTACCAAACTTGGAACGAAGCTTGCTTATGATCATAAGATAGTATCCAGAAGTAAATTTTGTAAAAAAAAATCATTTTTTCAGTATTTTACTTATAAATGGACTTAGTTTTTCTGCCAGTTAACATTACATTCACTCTGTGGTTAAAGTTTTTAAAATATTAACAACTTTCTTAAACTATCTTGGATTTGTACCAAACTTGGAAAGAAGCTTGTTTATGATTAAAAGCTAGTATCTAGAAGGAAATTTTGTTAAAATTTTGTTCCATTTTTTCCGTTTTATTACTTATAAATGGACTTAGTTTTTCTTCCAGTTAACATTACATACAGTCTGCAGTTTAATTTTATAAAACATTTATTAGATTCATAAACTATCCTGGATTTTTACCAAACTTGGACAGAAGCTACTTACAATCAAAAGATAGTATAGAGAGGAATATTTTTATTAATTTTTTTCCTCATTTTTGTTGAGCCTGCGATTAACAGCAAAAGTAGGCGAGACACTGGGTTCCGCGGAACCCTTAAGAATTTTTTTATATTGTAGTTAGTTGTTTTCTTTAGTTGTGGTAATTTTTTGCATGGGACTAGCCTATACTTATGAATGAAGATTTCATTTGTAGTTGACATTTATTTTGTATTAGGAAGTTGTGACTTCAAAACAAATCTTAGAGACTGATACTTTTCTTCTTTTGAAAATAAAGGCCAATGGTAAATTTTGGCTGATTTTTAAATTTAATCCAGAAAACGAAAATAAAAATAGCTTTTGCAGTTTTAATATTCTTCTAATTACTTTTATTAAGATTTAAATATGATTTTCTATATTCTTTTTAAACATATGAAAATATGGAATTGGAAAAAAGCTAAATGTTAAATCTATTTATAACAAATACGTTTTTTTTTTTAAATGTGAAATGAAATATATAAATACCATGTATTATGATATGGATAGTAGAGATATTAGATATAGTATATCATAAGACTATAAAAGTGTTATTGATGCTGAAATCCTGGTACTATGTGTCAAATTTATCATACATGCAGTATGATATTTTCATATTTTAATTTTACAAATGTTGGAATTGAAACAAACAATACTCTTACTTATAATTATGTATTTTTAAAAAAACTTGATGATAAGAATATGAAGACAATCACAATAAATTTGATTATTAGATGAATACATAGTATATATTATTGCTCATTTGAAGAATGCATGACATATCCCTGTGCAATCAAGGAAAAGATTGGGTTTCTTGAAAACATTATTTTTTAATATGTGCCAAATACATATTTTATGACCATTTTATGCATAAAAAGTCAATAGTTAATCATAAATGCACATAAGACTTAAAATTTTAAAAATTTTAACCATTTATTTCATCACCATTTTTTTTAACCAATAAAGTTTGCTACAAGAATGTACTTTCTTCAGTTGTTATTGATTATTGTGTTGAAAGATTGTGTTACTCTTAGAATTACGGAAAGAAAATGTTTTTTAAAGAAGTTAGTAGTATGTGTTAACTGATGGTTTATGAATCCATCTAAATATCTTAAGGTATTGTTAAAAATATCTTTCATATGGTCTCCATTGGAATACCAATCATATGAAGTTATACTTTATCTCTAAAATGAGCATTAATATTATCAAGCAAAAACAGTAATTTTCTAATCATTTCTATATCTGTCCAATAAGTGCATTTCTGGAATGTTTTATCACTGGAAAGGGAATGTAAAACAACTCCAGCACATAAACTCAAATAAACAGAAAACCAATTGATTGAATCACACAATTTCTGATTGATAAGATCATTTGGTAATGAAGTAAACCCAAATAGAGGAGTCAATAGAGACAAACCGACTTTTGATGGAATATTTCTTGTCTTACCCAAAAATGTGGGTGTTTTTTTACAATGCATAGATAGTTAATACAACCACTATTAAGTTCAGCTATGGCACAATATTTATCAACTAAGGGTTATTAAAATAACTAACTCTACGGTTGTAAAAGTGCAGGCGTCTTGAGGAAACGTGGTTGAACAATTAATTGATGCAGATATAACAGGAAATTTATCTCTTGGTTTCTCTTGATATTAAGAAGAAAAATTATAATGAAAATACCGAATTCCAAGGTAAATTCAAAAAGGGGAAGTTCATAAAAACTGACAAAATCAAACGAAGTCAACACAAATTTGGAACCTTGTGATATACTTGTTAAAATGTATTCATCTTCAATGCAATCTTATTATATACTACAAAGATTGTTTATAGGATGACACTGAAATTATATAAAGATACAGCAATAGTTCAATCAGTTCAAAGAATGCATCCAGTATTCATAAACCTGGTAGAATGCTATATGTGGTCTTGTTTGATTTCACTTTTTATTCTTTGGTCTTGAAAAGGTAATGTATGGATTCTGCTTCAAATGAATACAAAACAAGTAGGCCAATTTGATTGCACAATTAGAACCCATTTTGGATGATGGCTGATAAATTGTAGGTTTCCAAAGCACTTTTATGGATTTACAGTCATTGGGAGTGCTCACAGCCATGGATTTATAAGTACCGAAATACATGAAGAGATATATGACCAAAAGGGACAGAAAAATAATAGCCAAATAACCTAAGGTCTACTTTGCATGAGGAAGTTGAAACCTTAGTTTCTTAATAATTAATGAATTTATATACAGATAATTGAAGAAAGGTATGTTATTAATCATATCAGTACTTAAGCACTGACTAATGAACTGATGATAATCTCTGGGATTAATAGTCTACAACACTCCACAACATTTTCAACATTTTGAATGTATCGTCCTCCGTGCATCTTGTTGATTGAACAAAACAAATTTTGTTTTACAATTTCTATTTTTATGCCCCCGCCGTAGCGGAGGGGGCATTAAGTTTTACCCTTGTCCGTCTGTACGTACGTACTTCCGTCCGTACGTCCCGAAATTGGTTTCCGTTCTCTAACTTTAGTTTGCCTCAACCAAATGCTATGAAACTTATACACAATGCTTATTACCACAAAACACAGATCAAGTTTGAATTTTGGTGGCGTCACTTTAACCGATCTAGAGTTATGCCCCTTTATAAAAGGAAATATTGCAAAATATTTAGTTTCCGTTCTCTAACTTAATTTTGCCTCAACCAAATGTTATGAAACTTATACACAATGCTTATTACCACAAAACACAGATCAAGTTTGAATTTTGGTGGTGTCACTTTAACCGATCTAGAGTTATGCCCCTTTATAAAAGGAAAAATTGCTAAATTTTTATTTTCTTCTAAATATCAAGTTTATATAATATATTTTTAAAATTGGAGTTATCTTCCTTTGACCATGATTATAGTTGAATCAACTACAATCAATGCTTTATACAATGCAATGTTTAATTTAGACTTCCACTGATAAAACACAGATCAAGTTGAATTTGGGTAGTGTCACTTTAACCATTATTGAGTTATGCCCCTTTATAAATAGAAAGATTGCAAAATTTTTTAGTTTCCATTCTGTAACTGAAGTTTTCCTCAGCCAAACATTACGAAACCTATACACAATATTCATTACCACAAAACTCAGTAAGGATCAAGTACAATTTTTTTGTTTCAGTTCTCTAACTTGAGTTTGCCTCAACCAAATGTTATGAAACTTATACACAATGCTTATTACTACATAATACAGATTAAGTACGAAATTAGGTGGCAACACTTTTACCATTCTAGAGTTATGTCCCTTTATAAACATAAAAATTGCTGATTTTTTTTAGTTTGTCTCAACCAAATGTTGTAAAACTTATACACAATGCTTATTACCACAAAACTCAGATCAAGTTCAAATTTGGGTAGCGTCACTTTTACCGTTCTTCAGTTATGTCCCTTTATAACTATATGATATGCAAGCGGGGGCATCATCTGTGTCCACATGTGGACACTATCCACATTTATTGTAGTATCTTTTAATTGAGCTTGTTGGATAGTAGTGGAGTAGGTCTTCAGAATTTTTAAGAATCCACAACTGATAAACACCACAAGGTTAATAACCTCATCACAATACTTTTCAAGACCATTTGTTTCTGTAGAAAGTAGGGATGTCAACGAGTACTTGAGTACTGGAGTATCGCTCGGTAGTACCGAGTATCGAATACCAAAATGATACTCGACTAATCGGTTTCCTGATAGAATGTTGTTGCTTTTTTAAGCTTCCACAAAAACATATGTTTATTGAGAGCGCCGGCCTCCCGGAAAATTAAATGTTTACTTAATTAGAATTAATTAAAAATTAAAATTTGATTCGAATGTTTGCGTTTAACTGTCATTTAAAATTCCTCCAAAGAGAGGTAGACTATGAAAAAGTGCATTTTTCCAAGGCTTACACTTTTAGCTAATTAATCTTAGTCATTATCCCATCCTGTATCGTCAGAGCATATATTTTCATCAGCAGGACTGTTAGTTATCTAACAAATTTGAGAAATCGCCTCGTCCCAGAAAAAGTTGACAAGATAACACTTTTAAATAAGAACATATCCGTTGCACCCTGTGTCATGTGTGTCGACCCTCAGAAAATGATTAAAGGCATCAGTTAGTTATAATCATCACCCCTTTGTTGATCATTAAATGTGTTTTTACGGTTCCCAAATACTGTTGTTTG